CTGCCCCATAAAATGAATAGGCTGAACTCAATCATATGGAAACATCAGGAAACCCAATGTGAGGGGTACCCTACGACAGTCTGGCCAGGACTCCTAACAAATGTCAAGGTTGTGAGACACGAAGATGGGGAACCATGTCAGGGTAAAAATGGCTACAAAGGCCCCTGGGATGCAGTGTGTGATCTGAAATGTTCTCAACTGTGAAGGATGCTGTTGGGGACGAGAGACAACATGTGAGTAAAGTATATAGTTTGTTAACACTGTTGTATTGGTGCGGATGTTCTGATTGGGTAATTGTTCTGTGAGGAGGGAAGAGGCTGCCTTGGAGCTCAGGAAATACTCTTGGCATATTCGGGAGTGAAGGGGTGGAGAGAGACAGAGGGAAAGGAAACAGGCACAGAAAGAGACAGAAAAAAGAAGAAAACAAAGGTGGTAAAATATTAACATTTGCAGAATATATAAAGGGTTTAGAAAGTTCTTTGTACTATTTCTGTACATCTGAAATTATGTCAAAATAAAAAGTTAGAAAATAAAAAGAAAATAAAGTTTGTAGAGTGTTTGGGCAACATACCCAATTTCTCCCTTTAAAGCCATCAAGTAAGTTGGCCCACAGCCCAACCGCCCCGCTGCGCAGCAATGGGCTGGCATCCGTCTTGGACCCCAGCTGCAAGCATCACTATCCTGTTCCTCTTCCCTGGGTCCTGAAGCCTCTGGGCCCTGAGCAGGTGCCAGGCATGGATTAAGGATGTCCTTGCAATTTGGGCCAATGGTGGAGAAGCTTGCGCAGCCCCTCAGAACCACATTTCTTTCTTTCTTTCTTTTTTAATCCTGAGGACATTTCCCTTTTTTTGTTGTTGTTGTTCAGATAGAGAGGGAGGGGGGGGAGAGAGAGAGAGAGAGAGAGAAACATCGATGCGAGAGAGACACACCGAGTGGTTGCCACCCACACAGCCCAATCAGGGCCGAGGACAAACTGCAACCGAGGTACGTGCCCTTAGTGGGAACCAAACCTGGGTTTCTCTGGACCGCAGGCCGACACTCTAACTGCTGAGCCAAACCGGCCAGGGCAGAACCACATTTCTTTTGGTGCCCCACCCAGCACTCCTTTTCAGTTTGCTCTGAATATTTTGTAAGTCAAAAGGGTGGTTAAGCCCTGGCCAGTGTGGTTCAGTGGTTAAAGCACTGACCCATGCACCAAAGGGTTGCAGGTTTAATTCCCGGTCAAGGACACGTACCTGGGTTACAGGTTTGATCCCCAGCCCTGGTCGGGGAGCACACGAGAGGCAACTAATCAATGTGTCTCTCTCACATCGATGTCTCTCTCTTTCTCTCTCTCTCCCCCTCCCTCCCTTCCACTCTCTCTAAAAATCAATGAAAAAAATATTCTCTGATGAAGATTAACAAAAAGAAAAAGAAAAAAATGCTGAATATTGTTCGTGAATGTATATAATATATAAAAAATTGTTTTAAAGAATGACAAGGACACGCAGCAGAATTTTCACTGATACAATGCCTAAGGGAAGAGAAACAAAGGAAGAAATGAAAACATGGACTATATCAAACTAAAAAGATTCTGCACAGCAAAAGAAACAAGCATCAAAATGGAAAGGGAACCCTCTCTATGGGAGACCATCATTGCTGATGATACATCAGATAAGGGGTTAATTTCCAAAATATATAGAGTACTCATACAACTGAACAAAAGGAAGACAAAGAACCCAATTAAAAAATGGGCAGAGGACCTAAATAGACATCTCTCCAAAAATGACATACAAATGGCTAACAGACATGAAAAAATGCTCAACGTCACTAATCATCAGAGAGATGCAAATTAAAACAACTATGAGGTATCACCTCACACCTATCAGAATGGTCACCATAAACAAATCATCAAACAACAAGTGCTGGCGAGGGTGTGGAGAAAAGGGGACTCTAGTGCACTGCTGGTGGGAATGCAGACTGGTGCAGCCACTAAGGAAAACAATATGGTGTTTCCTCAAAAAATTAAAAATTGAACTGCCATTTGACCCAGTGATCCCACTTCTAGGAATATACCCTAAGAAGCCTGAAACACCAATCAGAAAGAATATATGTAACCCTATGTTCATAGCAGCACTATTTACAATTGCTGAGATCGGGAAACAGCCCAAGTGTCCATCAATAGATGAGTGGATAAAAAAAGCTGTGGTACATATACATAATGGAATACTATGCAGCTGTAAGAAAGAAAGATCTCATATACTTTGAGACAACATGGAGAGACCTGGGGAGTATTATCCTAAGTGAAATAAGCCAATCAGAGAAAGATAAATACCACATGATTTCACTTATTTGTGGAATATAATGAACAAAAGAAGCTGACAAACAAAATAGACCCAGAGTCATAGAAATAGGATACAGACAGACAAACCTCAGAAGAGGAGGGTGGGAGAGGAGGGGGAAGAGATAAACCACAGAACTTACATGCATGTACACATAACCATAGACACAGACAACAATACTGGGGGCAGGGGTGGGTGGGATCAGGAGAAGGCGTCAATGGGGGGAAAAGGAGAAACATCTGTAACAAAAAATAAATTAATAAAAAAAAAAAAAAAAAATGACAAGCCCAGCCAGTGTGGCTCAGTGGTTGAGCGTTGACCCATGCAGCAAGAAGTTGCTGGTTTGATTCCCAGTCAGGGTACATGTCAAAGTTGTGGGCCATACCCCCAGTGGGGGCATGCAGGAGGTGGCCAATCAATGTTCTCTCATAGATGTCTCTCTCTCTCTCTCTCTCTCTCTCCCTTCCTCTCTCTCTAAAATCAATTAAAGAAAAAAAGAAAAAGAATGACAAGGAGCCCTGGCTGGTATATCTCAGTTGGATGAGTATCATCCCACACACCAAAGTGTTGCCAGTTCGATTCCCAGTCAGGGTACATACCTGGGTTGTGGATTTGATCCCTGGTTGGGATGTGTACAGGAAGCAACCAATTGATGTTTCTCTCTCTCTCCCTCTCTCTCTAAAATCAATAAAAACATTTTAAAAAAGAATTAAAAAAAACAAAACAAGAATTATAAGAATAGGGACAGTGGATTATACCTTTTTGGGCAGAAGGGGAAGAGACTGAGATGGTTAAGAGAGGTTAACTTGTGTTTTATTGCCTTAAAACAAGCCCTGGGAAGAGATCAAAGTCACTGGTCCCTCTGGGGTCCTGGTGGAGGATGTAGCATCCTCCTCAGAGGATGCCCTTGCCCAAACTGTTTGCTGCCACCAGGCTGATGGGGACCTAAGGTGATGTTCATATGCACCAAGGAAGCCCAAGGAATGATCTCGCACATGTCTGGCACAGGTGGCCTTATTTCATTTAATCTTCATAACCATCCTTGCGAAGAGAATGACCTTTCCAAATACAAGTCAGGCCCATGCTCCTCTCCTTGGGTCACCCCCTTCCCATGGTTCCCCATCACAGAGAATAAAATGCAAACACCTGCCTAGCCAGTGTGGCTCAATTGGTTGAGCATCATCCCATGCACCAAGACGTCACCGGTTTGATTGACAGGCAGGGCATGTGCCCAGATTGTGGGGCTCCATACCCTGTGCAGGAGGCAGCCAATTGATGTTTCTATCTCTCTCCTTCCTCTCTCTAAAAGTCAATAAAAACATGTTTTAAAAAATTTTAATGCCAACATCTCACCAAGGCCCTTTCGAGTGGCCTGACACCTCTTCCCTCTCTGTTCCAGCCACATGGGCCTCTTCACCATTCCTCCAATACACCAGGCACCATCCTGCCCCAGGGTCTTTGCTTGGGTTGTGCCCTCTGCCTGAACCACCGACCCAGATTTCCACACAGCTTAGTCCTTCTTGCCATTCTGATTTCACTCAAAAGCCCCTTCCTCAGGGAGCCATCACTGTCCACCAACCCATCCCCTGGCTATTTTTGTTACATCTAGCTCAGAGGACTGAAGGCCCCATGGTGGCTGGGACAGGGTCTCTTATTGTGGACATGCAGCAGGGGGCCAAATAGTGGCTGACTTCACAGTTGAATGAGACTAATCTGTAATGACATGATTAGTGGTCACCTGGGGACCAGGGCACAGGGAGGTTGCAGAGGGGATGAATGTGGTGATGGCCTCAATGTGGTGATGGCTTCACAGTGCATGTGACACCATGCACATTTGTGTGTGCATCTTCCATGGTCTGCAAAGAGCTATTTAAAAAGATAAATACTAAAGGAGAAAGATCTGTAACAAAAATAAATAAAAATGGATGTCTAACAAAAAATAAAGATACTTAAAAAAACTTTGAGTCCTATTTTCAAAGTAATATTGCATGTACTTATATTCACATATACCCATGTACACTGGGAAGCAGGATGAAAACACATGAGCATGTTGATGGCTGTCATCTCTGCCAACTGGGCTTTCTTTTTCTTGATTACAATCAGTGGGACTGTGTAAAAAAAAGGGAACAGCCTATGAGGAGGTGATGGGCTGATCTTTCCCCTGAAATGTGGGGTTTTATGCAAATCCATGCCAGGCCAAAACCACCTTCCAGCCCTAGTGGAGGAACAGCAGGGGCGGAGATGCTCAGAGCAACCGCCCCCATAAAGTCAGGGCAAGCTGCACACAGTATCCTAGTGGCTGTGCCCAAACCAAGATGTCCCCAGAGCCTGGCCAATGGGAAGGACTTCCACACAGCCTGCTGTTCCCATCTCTCATTGGGTTGAGTGGTATCACCTCAGATTCATGATCCCTGGGAAATTTAGAATGAAACCTTATTTGAAAGACATAATTAGTTGAGATTGTACTGGAGTAGGGTGGGCCCTGAATCCAATGACTGTGACCCTTACTTAGACACACACACAGAAGAGTCTATGAAGGTGAAGTAGACAGGAGCCATATGATCACAAGCCAAGGAATGCCAGAAGCTGGGGGAGCGTGGGGCAGTTCCCCTCACAGTCTGTGAAGAATCAGCCTGCCCAGACTCCCAGGAGCCCCCGGATAGGACACTTGATGCTGATTGTTCGATATGGCTTTATTTTCTGATCGTCCGACTGCATCTCACAACCAGCCTGAGTTTTGAACAGTCAGTAGTCCTGACATGAGGAGCCGCCCTGGGGAGGGAGGACACGCGCAGGGCAACTCCAAATGGTGCACCATCACTGTCACGTGGCGAAGAGTGAGTCCCCTCCATCTCATCCACTTCTCCAACTTGTGGCATGACCCCCAGAAGTGGCCTGGCATTTGGTGAAATCTCTGGAGGAGTCAGTCCACCAGGCAGGGGGGAGAAGGGGAACGAGGCAGAACCTGTGGCCCCCACACTGACCTCTCCCTAGGCCTGGCTTAGTCAACATCCCAGGCCTGGACAGGACAGCCAGGCGTGCCCAGGGATGGAGGGACTGGTCTGGCAAAGATGGGAGGCCAGAGGTGAAGGCAGAGACAAGAGTCCCCGAGGATCCCACTCCCTCCTGCTGGCAGGCTTTGGGGAAGGGCAGCGGCAGGCTGGGAAGAGGGTGGGGAGCCAGCCCTGCCTCTTTAGACCACTTCAGACCTCCATGGCGGGCTGGAGCCCCTTCTTCCCTGTCCTGACCCTCCCCATTAGCACTTAACACTTGCTTGATTATATTGCTCATGAATCAGTACACCTGCATCTCCCTGAGGTCCGTCCAGTGCTGGAGGCCTTCTCCCCACGAGAAGCTCACACTCCACGAGGCACCTGGTTTGTGGGGTGTGGGCTCAGTTGAGGCTCCCATGTTGCCCACACCTTCCCCCTCTGGATCCCACAGTTGCACATTCTTCAGTAAACACTCTCCCTTGACTCCCCCGCCCCCAACATGAACTTAGCTCCCTCAGGACACATCCTCCTTTTCACAGATGAGAAAACAGGCCCAGCTGGGTGAGTGAGTTAGCAGAGGGGCCTGTAGGTCTCCAGCCTGGGGCCTCTCCTCCAGGGCCTCCTCTGCTTCTGGTCCTGGGGCTTCCAAAGGCACCCGGTTCCCCCTTGAGACCAGGGGTTGGGAGCCAGGAGATGACAGAGAACACAGCCTAGGGGATACTGGCGCTCCCTAGGGTGCAATAAGAGGGAGAGGCTAGAGAGGCCCCGGTGGGGGGCGCAGTGAGAGGGAGAGGCTAGAGAGGCCCCGGTGGGGGGCGCAGTGAGAGGGAGAGGCTAGAGAGGCCCCGGTTGGGGGGAACAACCTAAAGGCCTTACAGGAAGGCAACAGAGTGGGGAGGCTTCTGGGTCTTCAGGGCACCAGCTGTCCACTTGGGTTCTGGGAGACATGTGCCTCAGTCCTGGCCCAGGGAAGAGACACAACCTTCTGAGAGAGGAGTTACAATATGGGGACCCAGAGACTGGTGCTGCCCTCTTCAGACAAACGTGAAGAGAATATTCAAGTCACCGAGGGGATGGAGACAGCGTGGAGAACAGATGCAGAGCCAGTGCCAGCCATGGTCAGCATCACAAGCAGGAGTGACCGCAAGGCTGTGCCGGACAAATTTCCCTTCATAGCACAGCTTAGTGCCCTGTGGGTGAAGAGCCATCTCTCGGGCCAGGGGCTTCCCAAGTCTGTGACCTGGCCTAGAACTCCACCGAAAGCTCCTCAAAGGGAGTTCGTAGGACAGAGAAGAGAAAGAATCCCCCAAATCCTCAAGAGCAACACAGAAAAGCTCTGTAATTCGGGGTCTCGGCGAGCCCTGTAGGCCGAGGATGGTGCAGGTGGCAGGCGGGGCCCACGGTGCTGGCTGGACCACGTCATTGTGTCTTGGCCTTCAGGAGCAGTCTCTGAACCGTTTTGTAGAGGAGGTCGAAGTGCTGGGGCAGTGGGAGGGCGCAAGTGAGGTCATGAGTGAAGGCGGGGACAAACCTCACCAAGGAAGTCCCAGGGACCTGTGGAGTCACATGCTTCTGGGCAGGATAGGAGCAAGGACTCGCCTGGCCAGGCCAACCCTCCCACCTGAGTTCCGTAAGCTCACCTGGACCGCTGTGTAGGTCATGCCAAGGTAGGCGCCGATGCAGACTGCCAGGAGCAGGTCAAAAATGGCTGGTTTGACCCTGGAGGGAGAGGAGTCGGGGTCAAGGGAGGATGTGGGGCAAGCCACTCCCTGGCTATCCTGTGGACCACAGTCCCCTGGATGGTAACCCAGTGAGACGAGGGCTCCTGGTCCAGAGCAGCTCACCTGTAGGCATTCATCACCTGCTTCAGCTGGTCGTAGAAGACAAACTCGGGGTCCCTGGGAGAGAGTGTGTTCTCAGTGGACTTGCCCCGACAGCCGGGCCAGTCCTTTGGCCCCCAGACACCAGACCACCCGGAGGTCCCACAAGCCCAGGAACATGGCAGGGAGCACCCTGTGTGTGTGTCTCCTCAAGGATGCTACTGTCCCTCCTGGGAAAGGACTGTTCTTTATTCTGAAGGTCCATCTCTCCTTTTGCTTATTTTGGTGTTAAAACATACTCCTTAAGAGTGAAATACAGAGACTATGGAAACTTTACTGGTCTAAGAAGCATTTGCAGAGAGCAGGTGACCTTGGCCCAGAATCCGAGATGCTGGCTCCAGGGCTGTGGATCCACTGTGAGCCTCAATCTCCGGTCTAGGCGCTCTGTCCCGGGAGTGCCATGACTCAGGAGGAAGGTGGAGGCCAGCAAGGGCAATGAGCAGTCTGGGGGACATCTCCTGCCTGTGGACATCCACAGGTGCCCCTCCTACCACAAGTCCTGAGGTGCCTGCTCAGCCCAACTGGGGAGCCTGGGAGACTTGAGTAGAAAAAAGGATAAAACCTAGGGGGCCACAGTGGGGAGGAGTACCCTAAGGGCAGACAGGGACCCAGGGCAAAGCAACCTGATGCCTAGAGTACAAAAAAAACAGAGGGTGGGCACAGGGCTGCCAAATAAAATATAGGACATCAGTTCTCTGCAGATTCAAATAAACGAGGAATAGACTCTTAGTATAATTATGTCCCCAAAACTGCATGGGATACACTTATACTAAAAAACAATTTGCTGTTTATCTGGAACTCAAATTTAACTGCTATCCTATACTTTTTTATTTAGCATTTTACTTTCCATCCAGTATTTTATTTATTTGCTCAATCTGGCACTGGGGGAGGTGTAGAAGACTTGAGATGAGCATGCTCGCTAGCGAGCTACATTTCCACAAGCTGTGACGGGGCGGGCCGTCTGCGCCTCACCGTTTGTCAGCCTTGATGTGGTGCTGCTTCACCTCCTTCAGATAGCGGCTCAGATAGTGCTCCAATGTGTTGAGGAAAGTGCCATCTTTGTCCACCAACTGGGCAGCCCGGGGCTGGTTGGTGAGCCAGTCCATCACCGAGTCCAGCTGCTCCTGCTGGATCTGCTGCCAGGGACATGGCCATGGTCATGGGACCCCTGCCCACCACTGCCCCAGGGCCCCTGCCCACCCAGCCCAGTGGTTACCATCTGCTCTGTGAAGACAGGCATGTCCGGGGGGGTCCCCTGAAAAGAGGAAGCGACAGGCTTTCAGTCCAAATCCATCTGGTGCACTGGGACAGAAGGCCTGCTGCCACAGTGGGGGCCTCACCTTCTCTGTTAGGTTGTAGATGACTCGAGTCAGGGCCTCTGCAATGAGCCTTGTGTTTCGGGTCAGGGTTTTGGAGTCAACCCGGGACCTTCAAGGGCAGATATGAAAAAAAAAAATCTATGTATATTTGGAATCAGCATCATTTATAATCACCAAAAAGCAAGAGCGATCACATATCTAATGACAATAAAAATAAGAGAAGTTACAGCCTCCTCAGGCAGGGCGGGCACCTCTGCATCTCAGATTCTTTTTTTAATTGTTTCTTTATTGATTTTAGAGAGAGTGAGGAAAGGAAAGAGAGATAGAAACATAGATGAGAGAGAGCATTGATTGGCCATCTCCTGCATGCACCCACTGGGGATCGGGCCCACAACCTGGGCATGTGCCCTGACTGGGAATTGAACCGGAGACCTCTTGGTGCATGGGTCAACGTTCAACCACTGAGCCACACCGGCTGGGCTGCACCTCAGATTCTGGTTTACATGTTGCCCTCCTCGAAAGGCTGCCCAGCGCCCCTGTGGGTTATCTGTAGGTGCAGAGAAGCAGGCCTGCCTCCTTGTTTCTACCTGAAATAACAGGGCCCCTCTGTTTCCTCATCTGGAACATGGGTGGTCAGGGCACCTGCTTCCTTAGGTTGTTAAGGGAATAGTCAATTAACACCCAGCAGTAGGGTAAAATGTCCCCCCAAATCCACACCCACCTGAACCTGGGAACATGACCTGATTTGGAGGATCTTTGCAGATGTAATATTTAGGTACAGGCCACATTAAAGTAGGGTGGCCCTACATCCAATGGTGGGTGACCTTATAAGAGAGAAATGTGTGACAACAGAGGCAGAGATTGGGGTGATACAGCCACATGCCAAGGGACACTGAGGATAGCTGGCAAAACAGACCAGAAAAGAACTTTGGAGGCAAAACGTCAGTGATCCAAATGGGTGTGAGATGCTGGGACCTCCCAGGGAGGGGTGAGTGTGCGTGGGTGGGGGGTGGGGGTGGCCTGGCTTATTCCCTGAGCTCTGTTCCTCTTTCCCTCCAACTCTCCTTTGCTTTTAGTTCCTTCTGTTCTGGAACACCCTTCTCCTGACTCATGTCCTTTGATTTTGGTGCCACCTCCTCTAAGAAGCCCTCCAGCCCCAAGACCAGCCAATGTTCCCGCTGTGCCTGTTCTCTCTCTCTGGGTCTTGTCACCAGGCTGAGCTAGGCCCCATCTAGGACCATCTTCTCATCCCCTGAGCTGACACGTGTCCAGGTAGCTAGGAATATGCCCAGGGTTGGCCAATCAAAGGGCATAGGCAGACTGTCCAGGCTCGGGACTTGGCAGCTGACACCACCATAAAACCCTGTCCCTACTGGAGGCTGACATGCCAGCAGGGGGAATCAATGGGATGTGAGGTCCTAAAACAATGGAAGCCAGAGGTACCCGGTGTCATAGAGAGAGACAAAGTTAAGAAAGGGGTTGGTAGGGAGGGCTCCTAAGGAAGCACAAAGGGCCAGGGAGACAGGGCACAGCTCTCCAGGCTGCAGCACAGCCATGCAAAGGCCGGGTGGCAGAAGCCACAGAGTGAACTGAGGTGCTTAGGGTCTAAGAGTCATGCATAGGCCTGGCCGGTGTGGCTCAGTGGTTAAGCGTTGACCCATGCACCAAGAGGTCGCTGGTTCAATTCTCGGTCAGGGCACTTGCCCAGGTTGTGGGCCTAATCCTCAGTGTGGGGCATGCAGGAGACGGCCAACTGATGTTCTCTCTCATCGATGTTTCTATCTTTCTCCCCCTCTCCCTCCCTCTCCCTAACATCAATAAAGAAAAAAAATGTTTTATAAATAAATAAATAAAAGTCATGTACAGGGGGCGGGGGAAGCCACTTGCTGTGTCCTCCCTGTCCCCAGCGGCCCCTTGCTGAGTTAGCACAGGTGAGCCACACTACTGTTTCTTGAGCTGCCAGGCTAGTGCCAGCCCTTCCCCAACACACATGGCAGGTTCACTTCCTCCAGGCACCCACGTCTACTGCCAGTCCCCCACTACAGAAGAAATGTTTTTGTTCGTAGGGCCCAGATAGCAGGGAGACAGCTATGAGATGAAGGGGAGGCCTCACCGCACATCCATAATGCTGCTGCGCTGGCCATCACGGTGGCTCTCCAGGTGGGACAGGGTGAAGGCAGGCAGCCGGCGGATGGCAAAGCGCTCATGTTCCCAGGCCAGGATGTCCTCTGCCAGGTTGATCTTCTTGTGTACCATCGAGAAACGCACCTCCGGAAATTGGTGAGCAGCTACCTGTGTGGTGTGGCATAATCAGGGAGTCCACCCATTGCCCTGGGGTCCCAACCACACCTCACCAAGTCTGCAGGGGAACACCTCGCACCAAGCTCATTCCACAAATGTTCACACAGGGTCCTGAGAGCCAGGAGGGTCCCATGTTCCTCCCTGAACCTCCCACATTTGGAAATGGAGAAAAACCCACTTGCCTCCCAGAAACCCTGAGGCTCACCCAAGGTCCAAGGGTTTGCAAAGTGCCTGGTCTGATGCCTGGCCAATGGTGAACACTAGCTAACAAGGCACAGTAGGACAGATATCCCAGCCTGGCCCGAGTCCCTTGTGATCTACTGCCGCCCTTGTCAGGGCCTCAGGGGGCTAATCTGTGAAATGGGCACGTGCCTGGCACTGGGTCAAGCTGCTGCCTGGAAGGCTCCCTTGTGCCCAGGGGTACCTACCATCTCCAACTCCCGCAGAAAGGCATGCTGCAGTGTTCCCTCCCTGGGTGGCTTGGACACGTGCAGGTGGAGGCTGTCCCCCCGGCCCACGGTGTCCAGGCAGAGAACGAAAGCCACATTGTCCTGGAGCAGGCTGGAATCTGTGGGAGCAGCAGGAGCTGACCAGGGTAGGGGTAGGGGAACCAGAAGCCCCTGACCCCATATCCTGGGCCAGCTGGGGGCCACTAACCTGTGTGGTCCAGGTTGTCTTCTAACCAGCGCTTGGTCCCCTGATAGTTAAATTTGCCCCCTCCAGAGGCAAAGAACAGGAGATTATACCTGGTGGGGGGAGTGGAGATGTCAGCTTTGGCAGGTAAGTGTCCAGGTCCTCAACAAGGAGGAGGTAGTCTCTCCCAAGTACAAAATCCTGACCAGTCCTTCAAGCAGGGCTCCCCAGTGCCCACTGCTGATATCAGGACCGGGTGAGGGGCCGTCCTTGGCACTACTGTGTATTGAGCATCATCCCTGGCCCCAGCCCACTTGATGCCAGGAATATGCCCGACTGTGACACCCACAGATGTCCCCATACATGGTCCAGTATCCCCTGGGCAGAACAACTACTCCAGAGGCTTCTCTGAGCTCTCAAAACCAGGAGATGACCTGGTTTCAACCGACCAGGAAACAGACCCAGAAAGAAAAAAGTGAAAGGGATTCAGCACTGCTTTTTCCTGCAGTGGGACTGAAGCCAGGGCTGTCACAGGACCACATTCCTGGGCCTCCCTCATCCTCCACCTCACCCATCCCACCAGGGCCACAGCAGTCCTTATAGGAGAGAAAAAGGCACAGAAAGAGAGAGGGCCATGTGAGAAGGAGACAGAGACTGGAGTTACACAGCCACAGCCAAGGAGTTCTGAGGACTGCAGGTAGCTCCCATAAGCTGGGGAGGGCAGGAAGGACCCTGCCCCGGAGCCTTAGTGGGGAGCACGGCCCTATGACAACTTGATCTTGGCCATCTGGCCTCCAAAGCTAGGAACATAGATGTCTACTGTTTCAGCTACTCTGTGTGTGATGCTTGGTGACAGCAGCTCTAGGAGACTGACTCTCACTGAGCCCCTTTTTGCCCCAGGGCAGCACAGTGTGTAGATGAAGAAATCGAGAATGACCTGGCCCAGTGTCCACAGTGTCAAGATAAGGAAACTAGTTTAAGTGACTATTTTTCAAGTGTTTCTATTACTACTTGCAGATGAAAGCGTCCCCAACATCTGCCTGGACTAACAGCAGCTGGGCCTCCTGGGTGGAACTCAGAGGGTGAGTGTGGGAGGGAGCTGGTCCCAGTAGCCCTCAATACACACTGTTATTTCTGGGGTTGGAACTGCATCTGGGCCACGAGGCTCAACTGTAACCAGTGTGGCCCAATCAGCATGCGGCCCCATCCCCTCTCCCACCCAGCCATCACTTACGCAGCATGGGTACGCTTATAGGTGTACAGCCTGGAGAAGAGGCGGGCAAGCTCCAGCAGCACGGAGATGCCACTCCCGTTGGAGTCTGCGCCATGTGACAGCCACTGTGGGCAAGCATGACGAGGTCAGCAGTCACCACGCCAATGGCCACGCACAGTACCTCGTTACCCTCCTCCCACAGCAGTTGCGACCCACTCTGCCCGTGCTGATCTTGTCCCCATTAAGAGCACAACTGGGATGGCTGCCCTCTTCTGCTTAGAACCCCAGAACGACAGCACCTTGACATGCTCAGGGATGAGCACTTGAACACTCAAGGCCCTTCTGAGTCTCCCTGCTCACTGCAACTCTGCCCTGTGCCCAGCAGAGAGCTGTGCCCCCAGTGCTGCCTCAGTCCAGCCTCAGCATGTGCAGGACCTCACATCCTTCACTGTGGGGGGAGTCAATGCAGGTTCCCTCCAGCTGGACCACCAGGCTTCTGAGCCTTGAAAGCCTCCCTCTCCATTCATCCGGATCCTGTGATTGAAAGCAGTACTCCCAATGGGGCAATGACTGGTTCTTGGGGAAATAAAAAATCTTGGATTCCATGGTTTGGGAACCTCCCAAGGTCAGTCCATAAACCAACATAGTGTATCTACAGTATTACAATTCATGGGGAAGGCACAACATGATGCTCAGCAAGAGAAGCCAGACACCAACAGCCACAGTGTGTGATTCCATTTACATCAAATGTCCAGACTGCTAATAAAGATGGGGCTTCTTTTTGGGGTGATAGAACGTTCTGGAATTAGGTAGTGGTGATGTGACTATACTAAAAATCACTGAACTGCATGCTTTAAAAGGGTAAATTATACATTATAGGAAACATATTTCAAAAAAGTATTTAAATTTCAGAGTGAGAAATTAGGACAAAACTGTCAGAAAGGTTTAATGAACGAGTGGAGAAGTGTTCTCTGCTGACGGTACAGGGCCAGCTCTGGGCCCAGCTGGTCCAGGTGTTCTCAAGGATGGCCTTGGCCTTCCAGGCCGTGTGGCCCCTGGACCAGCAGTTACTGGTCTGTGGCACAGTCATGAGCTCACACCAGGCTACAGGGCCACCCTGTTTGGTTCAACTGGTTATTCTTTCAAAGCAAGGCTTTGTTGACAAAGGAAGCAGATTTACCTTTTGGTGTGAGCCCCAATCTCACTGTGCTGGGGGCTCTGAAAACATGGCCCCAGGGATGCCCCAGAATCCACTGAGATCAGCAGCACCTGGAAGTGGATTCTGGGGCTTCCACCACCCTCGCTGACAGGGGACTCCCTGTCCCTAAACTGTCTGTGCAAACACAATTCATCCTATGCTTATGCTCTCCTCCTGGAGTCTGGGACCTCATTTGTGCCAGAGAGAGGGGCCCACGTGATCAGCCCCCCAGTGAGAACTGGGCACTGGCTCTCTATAAGCCCCCTGGGGAGCGCACCTCACACAAACTAAGTGTATCCTGTGGACCCCACCAAGAAGAGGACTGTGGAGCTTGCACCTGGTCCCCACCCTGATCTGCCCCTCACACCTTTCCCCTCAGTTCATTTTGCTCTGTCCTGTCTCTATACAAACCATGGCCATGAGAACGACCACCTGCTGAGTCCTGGGGTCCTCCTGGTGAATTATCAATCAAGTGTCTTGGAGATTCCGACAGACAGCTGGGCCCTGTTTTAGCCTCTGTCTCAGGTTCACAATGACACCCACCCTGCAGGGTCAAGAGGAGCTGAGGTAATGCCTAAAGAGCTCAAAGAGTGGGTGCTGCTCCTCTGACCGCAACTGCTGTCCACAGACAGCCACTTCTGCCTCTGAGCAGTGTGGGAAGAAAGGTGCCCACCCCCCTCCTCCAAGGCAAACGTATACGTACAGGGGCCACTCCAAAGGCGTCATAGTGAGCTACAATGACAATGGTGGGAAGGTCCTCTCCACCCAGCCCCGTCAGCCGCCCCTGTGGAGAGAGACAGTCTGTGAAGTGCCAGCCAGCTGGGGTCCTGACCACCGTAACAGTCTAGGCTGCCCCCACTCGTTGGGAGTGGGGTGGGAGAGTATTTTTAGCTTTGCTGGCTCTATGGTCTGTCATAACTAGTCAGTTATGAGTGATATGTGAACAAATTGACGTGGCTAGGTGCCAATAAAGCTTTATTTATAGAAATAAGCTGAGGGCCAGACTTGGCTGAGGACTGCAGCTTGCAAACCACAGCTCTAGCTACAGGAATCCACTCAATCTTTTTACGGCGTGTTTCTCCCCCTGAAAATCAAGCCCACCTTTCAAAGGCTGAGCTCCAAGCCACTGTTTCGGAAGGCAGAACACTGCTGAGAAGAAACATTGCAGTAAGGAATGGAGCCCCAAGAGCCCCATGGGGTCCAGGTCCCAGCACTGGCTGGAGACAGTGGGAGAGAGGCCAAGCACCCTTACTTCCTCCTTGTCCCCTGCTTCCCATGTGAATACAGTAATGGCAGAGGACTCATGGCAGCACAGACTTTCCAGAACCAAAGGTTATGGCAACCAGATGGACAGGTTGGAACAGAGCTCCAAATGTGAGAAGGGCCCACCAAATCCTCAGTGGCTCCATCTGCTGTGACCCTCTTGGAAAACTGGGCCAACTGCAGCTGAACCTAACCTCTGGGAGTCTGGTAACAAGGTCTCTGGCTAATGCAGGTTTTCTCTGCCCAAATCACCACCATCTCTTATGCAATTTTAAATAACATATTTACCTGATATATTGATTGCTCAGAGGCTGCGGCAGCTTCTCCTCACTGTAAATCAGTCTATTAGCCCTGTTAGCTGCCTTGCCCCTTCCACCCCAGTCTCTGCAGGGTGGCCTGCTCCACCAAGAACCCCTGGGTCTCGGCACAGCAACAGGGCTGGCACTCACCTCCACACTGGTGATGAGCCAGTCACTCACGGCCTTGCTCTGGACCCCGCTGGTGACCATTTGGAAGCCATTGGCGGTGGCAGTGTGGAGCAGCACTGGGGACAGGAGCAGGGAGGGGTGAGTCCAAGGGTTCCCCAACCAGAGCCAGCATCCTCATCACCCCAACACTCTGGACTCTAGGTGGTCAGTCTATCCAAAACTGTATGCAGAACTGACCATGTGAACTAGAATATAAGATGACTAGATATGGAAAAGAGCCTGGGTGTCCAGGATAGAAGGTGGTGAAATAGTCACCCCAACCCCAAGCAGGCAGGAAGTGTCCTTACTCTGCAGGACCCTTAAACCTCCATTCCAAATTTACAGAGGTGCGTACATGCCCTCTGACTAGCTTCCAAAGGACCAGCTCAGCATCCACAAAGACCATCACCCTAGAGGTGACCCAGAAACAAAAGTCCCCCATTGGACAATCACCAGCCCATCCCCAAAGGCCAAAACAGCCTAAGCTCCCAAAGATTTGTAACCCACTAGCTTGTGACCAGACACGAGGTGGTACCCACCTTGCTCAGCGTGAGCAAATGAACCGCTGTGGGCGCTACTTTTTCATTTTTGGCCAGGGACTAAAAACACCCATGAGTTCACCCCATTTCGAGTCTGCTTCTGTTCTTTACGCATTTATAAATACAGTTATAATGTGGGTAAGATATCATCACTGGAGGAAGCTGAGAGAAAGGTGCCCTCAGGAACTGTGATATTTTTGCAACTTCTTAAGTCTTCACATATTCAAAAATAAATGTTATTTCTCAGAAAGACAATTGTGATCAATATTTATGATTTTAAATCCTGTTTTTCTCACTTACCAATATAAAATAAGCATTTTTCCATGCTGTTAAAATTCTACCCTGATGTCATTTTTTTGTTGTTACTCCTCACCTGAGGATATTTTTCCATTAATTTTTAGAAAGAGTGGAAAGAAGGGATGGGGGGAGAGGGAGAGAGAGAAACATCAATGTGAGAGAGACACATCAATTGGCTGCCTCACTCATGCACCTGACCAGGGCTGGGGATTGAACCTGCAACCCAGGTAAGTGCCCTTGACCTGGAATTGAATCCGAGACCCTTTGGTCTGCAGGCCAATGCTCAAACTGCTGAGCCAAACTGGCCAGGGCTACCCCAAAGTCATTTTTAACAGCTGCATAATATTCCACTGAGTAGATTCTTCCCCTCTTCTGCTCTAACTAGAAATTTAGGTCTTTCCAAAAATTCACTCTTCTGCTGCCACAGTGCAGATGGATGATGTCAAGAATTTATCTGGACCAGGGGTTGACAAATTTTTTTTTTCTACAAAGGGCCAGAGAGGAGGCAGTATTTTCTGCTCTGCTCTGCCACTGCCATTCAACTGTGTGGCTGTAGTATGAAAGCCACCATGGATAATACATAAACAAATGAATACAGCTGAGTGGCAATGAAACTTTATTTACACAAATAGGCGACTAAGAACTATAGTTTGCCAACCCCCAATCTAGCGTCCCAGGAGGATCAAACCTTTGCCTAAGCTTAAACACATATTGCCAAACTGTTTCCCCAAGGAGCTGGGCTAAGTCTCCCAGTGTGGACAAGCCCTCCTGCCTTTTCTACTCCTGTCAGCTCTGAATATTTTTTTCCTGTTATACCTGCCATTTCAGTAGGTGAGAATAGAGTGTCAGGAGGATCCTTTTGGCTGAAATTCTTTCACTAATTTTGCTATCTCACTACCAACAGTAAACCACCACTGCTCCCAACTCACCACAGCATCCCTAGTCCATGGGGTAGGAGGAAGTGGGTTTTCTCCTCTCCCTAAGAATGCTGCTGACCCTGACATATTCAGCAGGTAGGATAGAGAAAACTGAACAGATGCCATGCTTTTCATAAACATCCAGGAGGTGAAGACAGGAAACACCTCCCTCTAAATTAGTGGGTCCTAATCTTTTGTTTGTGTGAAAATCAGCAGTGGGGTGAGGTAGGGGTTATAAAATGCAAAGTCCTGGCCCCCAGCCCTTAGACTGACACAGCAGGTCTGGGGCAGGGCCTGGTAACCTGCACTGTTAAATACAGGTGATGTGTTAAGAGTCTCAGAAGTGGCACAATGTGACCCAGTCCTCAACAGGGAAGGCTCCCCATGAACCCACTCTGCTCCTGAAGCCCCCAGCACACCTTCGGCGGCAGAGGCAGAGCCCTGGGAGGCGGAGGCGGCCTGAGTCTGCTCGTAGATTGAGAGCAGAGCCTCATCTTCCACAGCAAAGTACACAGGAACAATGGTCTCCATGGCCAGCATCTCAGGCTCAATCTCCATGAATTGCTGTGGAAGAGACACATGTCTAAGTGACGTATGGCCTTGGGAAGCGGGGTGTGCCCAATGGCTGTCTCTGAAGGGCAGATGGGCCAGGGCCTGAAAGAACACCTCCTCTGAAGCAGCTAACAAGTCTAGGATTGCACCAGAGAAAATGAAACGGCAGGAAATATGACAAAGACAAAGCGATGGGTGAAGTGTGAGGTGTGATGATACCCAGGGGCCTCCTGGATGGTATTAAGCAGGGAGGAAGTGCGCTGGGAGAACAGACGTTGGAGCCAGCTAGGCTGGGGTCAGGTCTGGTGTTACTATGGGCTAGTCCTGCCCTCACTGACCATCATGTCCTCAGCTGTAAGTGGGCAATGGGTGCTGGCTTCCCAAACTAATGGCAGGGACCCATATGGATAGTGGGCATAAACTGTGTGCTGGGCACTGAGCTGGTTTCTGGAAAACTTGAACTCCCCCATCTCACTCAATCCCCACTGCCCCACACTCCCTTCTCATCTGCAAAGCATCTTTATCGCAGACTCTTGGGGGATCCTATCAGACCCAGTTCATTCAAAGCAGACCTCTGCCCCTCAGCACTGCTGACATTGGGGACGGGTCACTCTCTGTGGGGGCCTGTCTTGGGCATTGTGGAGCACCACTGGTCCCACCCACTTGATACCAAAAGCATCCACAGTTGTGACAACCACAGGTGTCCCCTACAGAGTCACTCCAGGGGTATAGGGACCAATGATGAAGGGCAAAAGACACCATCCACTTCCTGAAGGACAAGGGCTCAGGGAGGTGAAATGATTTGCCTCACAGCTGACTCCAAACCTAGTCTTCCTTTTTCCACAGAAGCCTCTAGACCCTGGCAGAAGGTGGGGATGGGGGCTTACCCGAATGACGTCCTGGGGCACAGCGGCCATGGCTCGTGGCAGGATGATGACCACGGCGCCAGCCAACTGCCGCAGGGCCTTCTGGTACTGCTCATAGGAGAAGTCCAGCAGCCGCATGAGCACACAGCGGCGGCTCAGCACATCCGTATCGATGGTTCGTGCCTCCGTGTTGAGCACTGCGTTCCGTGTGCCTATGAGGGAGGGGGAGGGCACTCCCTCAGCAGGGTCCAAAACCCTTGTCTAGAGAACATAGACTCAGGAACCTCCCGAGTCCCACCAGCCCTCTGCCCACGTGACCCGATAAACATCTGCCACGACCAGCATCCCACTTCCCATGAATGTAGTGCCCACTTGAACCCTGGAGAGTCTCAGAGCCTTTTGAGAACCAAATAAAAGCTGAGACCCTTCCCCTTGGACAAATCCACAGGCCTATTCTCCCAAAGCTCCCAGAACCCTGGGGCAAACTCAAACTCTGGGCCTGGCTGACCTGAGCCCGATGGCCCTTTCCCGCCTGCTCTGGCCCCCTCCTGCCAGGCAGCCCCTCCCCTCCAGGGCTCTAAAGTTTCCTTGGTCGTTTCCCTGGGACTTCAGCACCACTTACAATGTTTACAGCTATATATTCCTCAAATTAAACTGGGGTTCCGGGCACAGGGACCTCATTCACTGCAGTGTACAACTGCCACAGCCACTCCTGTCCTGACAGGTTCTTGATGAACACCAGCCAGAACAAATGAACAAACACTAAGTCACCCTAATGAGCCTCAGAAAGCTCCAGACATGCCAGAGTCTCTCCCTCTCAGCACAGTGGACATTAGGGTTGAGTCATTCTCTGTGGGGAGCTGTCCTGGGCACTATGGGGGATTGAGCAGCACCCCTGGCTCCTACCTACTTGATGCCAGGAGCATCCCCAGTTGTGACAGCCATGGATGTCCCTAGACATCACCAGGTGTCCCCTGTGGGCAGTTCCCCGATAGAAACTTCTCGCTGCTCTACACATAATCACTACATTCTGCCCCTCTTCTAAGAGCTGGAGAAAAATCCAGAGACTCAAGGAAGACGGGAGAGGCTGCTGAGTCTCAGCCTGCACGCTGGCCACTCACAAGCTTCCCACAGGCAACTGAATTCCCCACCGCCCGATCTGACCAAAAGTGACAGGTCAGAACTAGCATATCGCAGAAAGCTTCTCTAAGGTCAGCAGGGAGCCCTCGGGCACACAACATGTGAACACTGCAGCTCTGAGAGAGTTCTGCTGGAGAAAAGTGTCCCGAAGAAGCCTTTTTGATGTTAAACGCAGGACTGTGAAGGGGGCGATAACATCTACATACCTCTCCACAGGTGCATGGAACACAGTGGCAGGCCCTTGGGGGCCATTGTACCTTTGGCTGCCCTCTGAACGTGCCTAACCAGATATCAAATCCGCAACCCAGGCATGTGTCCTGACCAAGAATTGAACCAGCAACCGTTCAGTGCACAGGATGACACACAACCAACTGGGCAAGGGGGCCATCTTTTCCAATGGACTGGTGGGTAAGAAGGCCTCAGTCAACCCCCCACTGTCAGGGCCACCTATATGCTGCTAGAAAATTGCCAGAAATCCCGATTCTTATGTCAAATCACCCAATGGTAAGGGCAAACAAGGAGTCCAGAACATTTCACATGCTGCAGGCTGTACCAGACCAAAGCAAGCAAGAAAACCCTAACCACATGAGGTCTGGATGGGGCCCCCAGGGCCTCCAGTTTGAGACCCAAGCAGTGATCACAGAGAAGGACGCAGAGAGGGGTTCTGGCTTCCCCAGGGGAGAAAGCCCTTGAGTTGTCCTGGAGGTGGAAGGAGTTCGGGGGAGGTGCCATCCATGTACTCACAGACACAGACCTATGCTAGTCTATACTAAGCCTCAGGCTCGGGGCCAGAAGCCTAGATCCCTGCCTCCACTTTCCAGGAATGAGCTCTGTGGAAAAAGTGAGAAGGCAGGAGAAGCCTTGCTTCCAATGGAGTGCCCTAAGGGGATGGTGGGAAGAGGAGGCTGGAAGACACAGAAAGGATAGCGTCCCAGGTGGGAATAGGGATGGCCATCTCTGGTGAAGGGGGCCTATGACCAAGGAGTAAAGGTGGGCCAGAGGCTCCCTACCTCTGTGAAACTTTTCTCTGCTTTAGGCAGGGGGAGGGCAGCAAAGACCTTCAAGATGCCCTTGAAGATCTTGGAATGCCCAGAAGACCCACCCTTCATTCCCTACCTGTTTTAGGTCCTCAGCCTGACAGAGACGGCTCAACTGTCAGGTAGGGGCATGAAGGCAGCCTGTGGAGTCTACTGTGTGCATCTTCTCACTGGGCCTGGTACTCCTGCAGGGCAGGAATCAGGACCCCAATTTCCAGAGGGAGGAAGCAAGGCCAGAGAGTGATAAGAGCAAAGCCAGAGACTGTCCCCCAGACTCTGAGCGCCCCAAAAGCAGAGACCATCTTTACTAATGTAAAGTTAAAGCCTGCACAGCCTCCCACACCCCTGCTCTAGACCAGCAGAGGTTCAGGATTGGTGGACAGCATTGAACATCTGGACAGAAGTCACTGGTTCCCACAGTGAGACCAGACCTGAGCAGAGCCTGCTCACTTTTCTATCAAAGGCCAAAGGATCAATCTCCCTGCCTGGCTGGGGCACACCAGCTCTGTCATAACTACTCAGTTCTGCTGTCAGAAACACATCAACTAGAGGGTGTGGCTGTGTGCCAATAAAACTTTATTTACAGTAACGGCTGAAGGGCCAATCACCTCCTAGGGCCTTGTTGAGCAGAGGGTATTGACAGAAATGGGCATGAGTGCTCTGCTAACCACAGTGCACCAGCACACAGCAAGTGCTGTTAAAGCAGCAGTCATCTCAGAAAGGCCAGAGTCCACCTGGTAGGGGGACGAGGCCACACCTGTAGCCCTGTACCTGGTATATTTCCCTCAGCACTATTCACAGCGCAGCACAAAGAGCACACGCCTTTCCTTCCTGGGCAGCTGCCCAGCTCTGTTTCTCAATAGAAATGAACAGGAAGTTGGGAAACGAGGGACCCACAGCCAGGATTGCACCAGAGGTGGGGCGCCTGGGGCATGCGCTCTAGGAGAGGGTATGAAAGACAATGGGGAGAATGCTATCAGCAGTGACCTAGCAGACCAGCTCTCAAAGGCACCACCAGCAAGGAGAGACCTGGGGCTTCTTCTGGCCATACCAGGTCTTCCAGCTGCTGAAGAACAAGCAGCAATGCCTCAGACCCCTGAGGAGTCTCCCCTCCAACAAAGAACTATCCCTCCACAGCACCAATATCCTGCCAGCTTCTCCCCAGGCAGCTATGGTCCGCCCCGCATCTGAGCCAGGGACATCGCAGGGTGTGTGAGGGTGTGAACATGAAAGCCCCACTCACAGGACCTCATCCAAGTTTCTCCAGTCAGGCCTCTGTTTCCCTACTCTGCAGACAAGAATACTTGGCTAAGATGGGTGGGCACCCCACCAGCCCCTCCCAACCACCCTCGGAACCCACCGTCTCTATAGATGCCCCATGTAGGACAGGTATCTAGGTTTTTCACTGGGAGCAACAAAGATGAGGGGGGCCGAGAAGGAGGGCATGTGGGAGGAGATACTAAGTCAGAAAAAAGAACGGGAGGGAATTCCAGGATCAGGAAAGGACTTAGAGAAAGCAGGTAAGAGTCTGGCCAGTGTGGCTCAGTGGCTGAGCATCGACCCATGAACTAAGAGGTTGCCTTAGTTCAATTCCCGGTCAGGACACATGCCCAGGTTGTAGGCCAGGTCCCCAGTGGGGGGCATGCAGGAGGCAGCCAATTGCCCTGGCCAGTTTGGCTCAGCGGTTAGAGCGTCGGCCTGCGGTACAGAGGAGGCAGCCAATCGATGTTCTCTCTCATTGATGTTTCTGTCTCTCTCTCCCTTCCTCTCTCTCTAAAACCAATAAAGAAATAAAAAGAGAGAAAGCAGGGAAGAGGAAAAGAAAGCTGAGGGAAAGGAGAGAGGAGGCCAGGGAGAGAAAAACCTCCCAAGGACCTGCAATCGAGGGAAATGGAGAGCATGGCTCTGCATTCAGAAAGATGGTACCTTGGCACCTGTTTGCTCCACAAATTCAGCCAGCATTTCTTGGGCAGGTTTAGAAGGAAGAGAAGAGGCCACATCAGGTGCAAGGGAGGACAAGGAGGCATCCAGGTTGTCAGAATACTGCTATCTAGGGGCCAGAGAGAGAAGCTGGGTGTGCTGAGAGGGGTAAAACAGGAGGCTCTTAACAAGGCTTCCAAGTGTGAATCATCTGAGTTAGGACAGAATGACAGGGGTGAGTGGAAGGAATGGAGACTCAGGATCTGGAGAAATTGGTGATATAGAGGTTTTAGGATTTGGGCCTTCTGGACTGTGGATCCCTCTGGGAAACCAACAAAAACCCTAGATCAGGATGGCAGCCACCAGGCACATGTGACGGTTTGACTTTATTACAATTAAATAACGCTAAAAATCACCTTATTCTGTTGCATGAGCCACATCTCAAGTGCCCAGTGTCCACCTGTGGCTGGTGGCTCCTGTATCAGTGAAAACACAGAACCCATCGACAGTCACACAAAGTCCCACTGCACGGCACTGGTCAAGACCTTCCTCCAGGAGAATGTCGATGCATAGAAATGTGTCCACAACATTAGGAGCTTCCAGCCCCCAGCCTTACCCCTCCAGAGCCTGACACTTCGGGTTCAGAACCATCACTGAAACCCCTCAGCACTATTTCTCCCCTCAGCACTGGGGCTGGATCACTGAGGCCAGATCGTTCTCTGTGTGGGGCTGTCCTGGGCACTGTGAGGTGTTGAGCAGTATTCCTGGCCCCTACCTACTTGAAGCCAGGAGCACTCCCAGTGTGACAATCATAAAGACATCACCCAATGACCCCGGGGTTGACAACGACTGTTCTAAACAGAAAGAACGTAATTTTGTGAATAGGAGGGATCTGAGAAGAAGTCTAGACATGTCTCCAAAGCCTGAAGCTTTCTAAAGGCCTGGCAAGGGCTGAGGGGGTGGGGGTCAGAGTTCTCCGGACCGTAAGCCGACGCTCTAACCGCTGAGCCAAACCGGCCAGGGCCAGAGTTCTCAAGTTGTGACTGAGATGGTCTAACAGCAGAGGGCAATCTAAAAGATCTAAGGCAGACCCCTCAGAGATGAAGGGACCAGGAGGACTGGAGGGGGGGGTGCTCCTTAATGAGGAAATTAGGCTTTGACTTGGGGGTACCTAAGGTACCAGGCTGGAAGAGAAACCAGAGACCAGAAGGTTCTGAAACAACAGATGCAGCTATAGGGCTGGGAAGAGACAAGGGAATGTGAGATGACTTGGGCCCTGGGGTCAGAACCACTGGCAGGTGAAGCAGGAGTGGGGAACAAGAAGCTGCAGAGGATTCAGGCCCAGGGGTCAGAGACAATACAGAAATCCTAGAGAGGGGGAGCAAGTGGAGTTCCAGGAAGCTGGGGGTGAGGAGGGTAAGCTGAGGGTGTCCCTACCAAGGGAGAGGTCAAGGCATGGGGTCCAAGGGATCCTTAGAAACCTAAAGGAATAGAGACTAAACTGGGGAAGGGGGAAGAGTCTGGCTAAAGAATTGTGAGGGATCCAGCTCATGAGTTGGAACCAGTGAGAGACTAGGACCTGGAGAGAAATGGGCCCTGACATAGGGCCAAGCCTTGGTTGACAACCTGTGCTCTGGAGTCCTGAGAGGAGCAGAATGCGAAGGCTGCACAGAGCACCGAGGTGGTGTGGAGACCAGGGGCTGGTTGGAACACACGTTGGGCGGCTCGCCTGGCAGACCCGGAGATGAGAGGCTCATCTCCAAATCAACCAGGCCAGAGGTTGAAGCTCTGGGCGCAGAGCATGACCCAGGGCTGATGGGCACCAGGGTGGTGTCCAGGGGAGGGGGCCTGGGCAAGGCGACTCTGGTCTAGCTGGTAACTGGAGGTGACCCAGGGGCCTAGGAGCAAGGGGCGCTTGGTCCGGGAATCGGAGGGTTCTGAGACAGGTAGCTCTTGCCAGGGACTGGAGGATGTGGGAGCCAGCGCGAGGTGGGGTCAGGGGGTGGTTCCTGGGGCACTGGGAGGAGAGCTGGGGGCCTAGTAGAGGTCCAGGTATCCAGGCTCTGATTTGCCTGGGTCTAGGTAAGGGTCTGGCAGCTAGATTCCAGCTGGATAGGCCGGAGTGGAGGCTCCTAGAATCCGGGGAGCAGAGACCGGGCTGAGGGAAGAGGGTACCTCAGCTCCGGAAGGCGGAGGACGCCGGGTGGGCCAGAGGCCGACTGGTGGGATGGAGGCCGAGGGAGGCGGGGACCCGGGGACCCGGGGAGGCCCAGAAGGGAGGTCGGGGTCCACGCACCGTAGGGCTGCCCCTGCAGGTCGTACTGCTGCATGCGGTACACGGTGAACTCGTGTGCCGCATCGGCAGCGGGCAGCGGCGGCGCCACCAGCAACAACACGGCGGGCAGGAAGACGATGAAGCCGAGCGGCAGGCACGACGCCTTCAGCATGTTCTCCAGAACCTCGCCCGCTTCCTCCAGCATCCTGGCCAGCGGGGGAGCCGCGCAGAGCGGCGGCGGGAACGGGACGGCGACGAGGACGGGAGGGACAGCGGGGACGGTAAGGACGGCGGCAGCGGCTGCTCCAGCAGATTCACCTCAACATGGGTAGCCGCCGGGGTCCTGCGGACGCTGCGCCGGGCAGTCCGCATCCGCCCTGGGGTCCTGCGGGCACTGCTGCGGACAGCCCCTCTGCCGCGCTGCCTCCTGGGAGGTGTAGTTCTCAGGCGGTGCGCAAAAGCCACCTGGGAGTTGTAGGCTCATTCAGTTACTTCCGAGTGCAGGTTGTGGTGGGCTGTTTGGCTAAACTGCTTAAGCTTCACATAAACTACAAGTGACGGAAATACAGAGCCCTAGACGGTTTGGCTCAGCGTCGCATGTTTAGCTCTTGTCAAGGGCACGTACCTGGTTGCAGGTTGGATCCCTGGTCCCGGTGGGGGTCGCTCGGGAGGCAACCAATGATGTGTCTCGCTCACATCTCTCTCTCTCTCTCTCTCTCTCTCTCTCTCTCTCTCTCTCTCTCTCTCTCTCTCTCTCCCCCTCTTTCTCTCCCTCCCTCTCTGTAAAAAAATATCCCGGGTGAAGATTAATAAAATAAAAGAAAGAAAATACAGAGACTAAAATATTTAACTGTCTTTGCTGTGGAAAAGGGGGAGGTGACTGTGGAGTAGAGCTTAATCTTGCTACTCGAGTGTTGGAAATGAAGGGCGGGGCTTGCCTGGTGCGCTGGGTCTCCTGGGAATTGTAGTCCCATTGAGCAAGCACGGGTGCTCATGGGAGCTGTAGTCTTCCTGGCAAAAATGAGAAAAATCACCTAAAACTTCCAAGGAATGTGGATGCTAAACTCCATGAGGGCAAAGACTTTGATCTGCTTTGTGCATTGCTGTATCCCCGGAACCTAACACAAGGCCTGAAACACAGTGGGTGGGCTACATAATTTTGGGATGAATAAATAAAGAAATTATGGAAGGTTCCTAAAGGGGTGACAAAATGGATTATGGGGCTTGTAGTCTGGAGCCTGAAATTCGTGCAGGGATTGGTGCATACTTATGCTTATTCATTTTGGGGTCATACTCATAGTAAAAATTATTTGTTATTCATCAGAAATTGAAATTTTACTGGGATCCCAAACTTGTATTTTCTAATCTGGCCATCCATCCTAAGAACCCTCTGTCTTGGGGCCAGGGATCTTGAGGAACATGAGTAACTCACCCCTTTGTACAGATGGAAAGACTGAGGTCACAGGGTGAAGAATACAATAGCCCTGGCCCACAACGAGGTGGCATCCCAGGCTCCAATATGGTGGCTTTTGTGCTGAGTAACAGCAATGGGTTCAAGTCCCAGCTCCTCCACTTCCCAGCTGTGTAACCTTGGGCAAGTCACCATCTCTCTGAGCCTCAGTTTCCTCAGCTGCCAAATATAATAAATAATCAAACACTCTCCCACTCCATCCAGGGGTTTGTAATAATTTAATCAGATAATCCACATGTACTGACTCAGAAAGAGGAAAGCATACATGAAGCTCTCAATAAGTGTTGCTGTTAAGAGAATGCACCTATTCGTGTAGCCCCAGGACTGTTGCATGTGCTCTGCCTGCAGAACACTCTCCCCGACTTTTTTGCATGGCTAGCTTCTTACAGAAATGTCGTTGGGCATTTATTAGCTCAGTGTTTGTCACCCCAGCCACAGTGGGACCTTTATGAGGAGAGAAACCAGATTGTTTATATCTAGAACCTCAGTGCCCAAAACAGAGCCTAATACACAGTGGTTAAGTGAACGAATAAGTGAGCAAATGAATGGATGAATAGCGAAAGCTCCAACACACCAGCCAACCCTTCCTAGCCATTCTTCTTCTTCCTCTGCTTCCAGCCAGTTCCCAGGCCTCTCCAGGGAGGCCCTAGGCCTGAGGAGTCAGGAGTGCCCTGGCAGAGCAGGAAAGAGACAAGAAGTCATTCTGGCCCATGTGCTCTTCATCACCAAAAGTTTATTACCTACTCCTTCCATCTGCCCCCCATTCTCCCAGGCCAGGCTATGAAGACACAAGACACACACACACACTCACCCAGAGACAGGTCAAGATAGGGACCTGGACATGGTTCAGACAATGAGACTTAGACCCTAGAGCTGCCCATGCTGCCTCCTCTCCTGAGCTTTGGTTTTTCTGTCTAAAATGTGGAGGTTCAACTATTCTGCTCTGTGGAGATGAAGCCACAGGCAACTCAAAGAATGAAATGGAATATTTGTTCTGAGTTGTCTGAGGAGAAAAGGAAGTGGCATTCATTCATTCATTCATTCATTCATTCATTCATTCAAGAGACAGTAACAAGCTGGGATCAAGACACCACCTGCTTGGCCCTGGACAGTTTGGCTCAGCAGTTAAAGTGTTGGCCCGCAGACCGGAGAGTCCCAGGTTCGGTTCCTGCTAAGGGCACGTACCTCGGTTGCAGTTTGTCCTTGGTCCTGGTTGGGGTCGTGTGGGTGGCAACCACTTGTTGTGTCTCTCTCACATCAATGTTTCTCTCTCTCTCTTCCTCCTTCTCTCCCTCCAGCCCTATCTGATGATAAATGCAAGAATGTCCTAAGGTGAGGATTAAAAAAAAAGAAAGAAAGAAAGAAAGAAAAAGAAACCACCTGCCTGGGTTTGAATCCCAGCTCTGCTGCTTCCCAGCTGTGTGGCCTTGAATAAGTTACCTAACCTTTCTAGGCCTCAGTTTCTCATATATAAAATGGAGTTAATAGAGAGATTTTTGTGAAGATTAAATTAGTTAATACAAAGGTGATTACACAACACCAGATGTCGAGTGATATATAAAGAGTTATTGTTATAATTCATTTAAAAGCATACACATAAGCCTGGCCAGTGTGGCTCAGTGGATTGATCATTGTCCCATGGACTGAGAGGTCTGGGTTTGATTCTTGGTCAGGGCACATGCCTGGGTTGCAGGCTTGGTCCCTAGTACAGGGCATCCGATCAGTGTTTCTCTCTTACATTGATGTTTCTATCTCTCTCTCTTCCTCTCTCTAAAAAAATCAATCAGAACATTTTTTTCCTTATTGATTTTAGAGAGAGTGAGGAAGGGAGAGGAAGAGACGGAAACATCGAAGAGAGAGAACATCAGTTGGCCGCCTCCTGCATGACCCCACTGGGGATTTGGCCCACAACCTGGGCATGTGCCCTGACTGGGAATTGAACCGGCGATCTCTTGGTGCACATGAGTCGATGCTCAACCACTGAGCCACACCGGCTGGACAATAAGAACATATTTTTAATAAATAAATAAATAAATAAATGAATGAATGAATAAAAACATACACATAATAGTTTGAGGGCCTTTTTTGCTTTGAGTTATCAACGTCCCAGGAGGTCAGGGGCTATCGGTGTCATTTGACAGATGAAAAAGCTGAGGTCCATGGTGTTCAGCAGAGTTGGGGAATGGTAATAGGTTACAGACACCTGAGCCATCTAACAAGCAGAAGACAAGGATTCCTTGGGATGATTCAGAGGAGGGCTGGGGTAGGGAAGAAGGAGGGGAAGAGGTTCCCGAGGCTCAGCAGAAGGTGTGCTGTTGAGTTCAGTGCTTCCAAAGCTCCAGGTCACTGAGCATATGATGTATGCTGGGCCCTGTGTCGGGTCCCAGGGACACAGCCGTGACCCCGCCACTACTATGATGTCCATTGTTACATAGCTTGCAATCCAGAGGAGGAGATGGATGCGTGACAGGGGTGATCAGAGCTGCAATGAGACTCACAAGCAGCAGCGGAAGTCCAGAGGAGGCCTAGGGGGGCAAAAATCAGAAGAGACTTCCTGGAGGATATGATGCTAAAGCTGAGACCCAAAGGGAGGGCAGGGCAAATGGAGCAACTAAGCCCTCTCAACACAGGCCCAGCACACAGACCGAGAGTTTTGGGGGTGGCCCAAGCTCCATTTACCCCAAATTCCACCAAGCCCCCACGCTGCCTACTGCTGTCTCTGATAAATACACCTGGAACAGGCATCAGGAAAACATAAGAATTATTCCATCTTATTGTGCACCCAGGTACATGCCAGGAACTCTTTCCAACCATGTCCAACAGAACTTCCCGTGATGAAAACGTTCTGCCTCTACAGTTCCAAAACAGTTGCTGTGAGCCACATGTCACTACTGAGTGCTTGAAATGTGGAAGCATGACTGCTGTCGGTTGAATATATATGTTGAAGTCCTAACCCCCAGGACCTCTGAATGTGACCTTAGACGTAATAGTTAAGGTGAGGTCATACAGGAGTAGGGTGGCCCTGATCCAATATGACCAGTGTCCTTATAAAAAAGAGGAAATTAGGACACACACACACACACACACACACGGAGAACGTCACATGAATAAGAAGGCAGAGATGACAGTAATGTGTCTACAAGCCAAGGGACATTAAAGATTGCCAGCAAACACCAAAATCTAGGAACAGATTCTCCCTCGTGGCCTCAGAAGGAACCAGCCCTGCTGGCACCTTGCTCTCACACTGCACCCCCCAGAACCAGGAGAGAATACACATCTGTGGTTTAAGCCCTCTCATCTATGGTGCTTTGACTCGGCAGCTCCAGCCAATCAATACACTGAGAAACTGAATTTTTAAATTTCCTTTTATTTTAGTTAATGATAAATAGCTGCACATAACTAATGGCTGCTCTATTGAACCGTACGATAAACGGTTTCCAGTCACCACACCCCCATCTTAGGGGGCTGCCCTGAGAATTTGGCAAGACAAGGACAGGAAGACCCTGGCTCAGTCCTGGGAGGGTGGAGAAAGCAAACATTCGACCAGTCAAAGGTGGCCATGTATTGAGGGTGTGCCCCTGCACCGTCCAATATGGCTGTCTCAAGTCCCACAGGCTATTTAAATGCAAACTAATTCAAAGTTCAGGTCTTCAATTTCCCTGGCCACTTACTGAGTGCTCAGTAGCCATGTGGGGTTCCTGTACTGGCTGGTGCAGATGTGAACCTTTCACCATCGCCAGACGTTTTGTGGGACACATGGATGCCACTCACTGTGGCAAGCACTGAGCATGTAACAACAATCTCGTGCTGTGGGTTCTACTTGTTACCAGCCCATTTTACAGATGGGGAAGGGGTGAAGCTGTTCGTGCTAAAAAGAACTCTAGAGAGTAGGTAAGTTTCCCGAGACCAGGAGAACCAGACCACTGCCTTTCTGCTGGCCCCCAGACTGGTTCCCAAAAGATGAAGAGCCCAGAGGTGGAGGAAGCAGTCTGCCACAGAACCAAGATGAGAAATGGGGCAGGAAAGAGGAAGTGAGCGAGAAGGGGCGTATGTCAACTGTCACTGCTTCCCATCCCAGTAGCCTCATAATGCTCAAATATTTTTAGCAAAGTGGTCTGGTCACACACAGGTGTGTGCACACACACAACAGCCTCAGACAAGAGGCCTGCCACACACAGAGATGTCTGTGCATATGCAGAGGCACAGCATATGCTCATGGGCACAACCCACTCTGTACCCCATCTTTCTCTCTCTCTCTCTCTCTCTCTCTCTCTCTCTCTCACACACACACACACACACACACACACTCCACCTGCCCTCAAAACCATACACCCCCACCAAACACACAGACCCAAGGCCTTCCCTGGCCACAGACATGCCTCCTTGCAGATTCCCAGCCACCCCACAGCCCTCATGCTATCGTCCCTCTGCAAAACAATGAATAAGAGGGAGGCGAGACATCTCATACCATCAGTGAACTTCCATGTTGCCAGGGCATCGATCCCACAGTCTGCCCCTCGTCGTCTGGGAGCCCCATTGAGGCCCAGAGAGAAACCAGGATTTCCCCAAAATCACACAGGAACTGGGGCATACATAGTAACCCCATTTGTCCTCATTCCAGGGCGCTGTTTCAATGAGCGGTTGCCTCCTTCTCCGAGGAGACCATGAAACACCCGCTTGGCATCAGCAAACCTGAAGGCTGCAGGGAGGACCAAAGGGCCTTGGGACACCATCCTCTCCATCTGGGTCTGCCTGTTGCCTCCCTACATCTCCCAGGCCCCCGGCCCACCCCTCCTGGGCCTTGTCCAGGCCGGGAGGTGGGCCTGCATGGGTATGCACCTGGAGGGTGGTCCATCTTCCCCTGCTGTAGCTCAGAGGCTCCTTACACTGGAGATGCTAGTCAGGGGCTCCCGCATCCGAAAGCTGAGCGACCGGGAGCCCCGAAAGCTGTCCCTGGGCCGCAGCGAGCTGTCAGTAGTGGAAGCTCCCGAGTGGGCCTCAGCAGCCCGGACCAGGCAGTCCCCAGGCCCTCGCAGGCCCAGCCTGAGGCACCCGCAGCAGAGGAAGCCTAGCACGGCCCGGCACACTTCCCTGCTGCGGAAGGAGTAGATCAGCGGGTTGACAGCCGAGTTCAGCACAGCCAGAGCCAGGATCCAGTCCATGCCCCTCAGGTACTCCTGCGCCCAGATGTTGGAGCCAAAGATGTCGGCCAGTAGCAGACCGAAGAGTGGACCCCAGCAGATCATGAACGCCACCAGGATCATGAGCACTGTGTTGAGCAGCCGGCGGGCCTTGCGACGGAATGGGGGGCGCGAGGCCTTCTGCCCATTGGCCCGCACCACCCTGAAGATGGCCCCATAGAGCACCATGATGGTGGCCAGGATACAGGCAAAGATGACCACACAAAAAAGGATGTAGGCCTTGGAGTAGAGTGGAAGCAGGCTAGAACAGTTCTCGAAGGAGCACACGCAGTTCCAGCCGAGCAGGGGCAGCAGGCCCAGCAGGGTGGCCAGCAGCCAGCACAGCCCAATGAAGCCCAGGACGCGGCCCTTCTTGGTGTCCCCGCTCTCGGCCACCGGCCGCACCATGGTAGCAAAGCGCTCACCAGCAGTGAAAAGCAGGCTGAAGGTGGATGCAGCCAGGGCCATGAAGAGTGTGCCCTCCCGCAGGAACCAGGAGGCTGGTGCCAGGTGGAAGGTGCGAGCCCCGGACAGCAGGATGTTGACCAGGTAGGCCAAGCCAGTGAGCAGGTCACTCAGAGTGATGTTGACCAGGCAGTAGTAGACCCAACGCCGGGACCGCATGCGGGTCACGATGGCCATCAGCACCAGAAGGTTCTCCAGCACCACCAGGCAGCTCATAGCCACAAAAAGTCCCTGCAGGAACCCCAGGCTCCCGTTCTCGGGCTCAGCCCGCCCCACCAGCCGGCCCGAGTGGTTGTAGTGCAGGACAATGAGCTGGCTATGCCCATGGGCTGCCAGCTGCTGGCAGGCCTCAGGGGTCTCCACTGGGGACCCCGTGGCATTCATGGCAGTCCCCCAGGGCAGACTGAGGCCCAGGGTGGCTGGCCCCAGGCAGGGTGGAGCTGCTGTCTTGCCCGATCTTGGTTTCCTGTTATTTGAAATTTCCTGTTATGTTCGAGGTACCCCCAGGGTGAGGGTGAGGCCTGGGTAGGGAGGGGCATCCCAACGGTCCGCTCCCACCCCAGGTCCTTGGAGGCCACTGCAGCTGCTGCTGCTTCAAGACCTCTGCCTTTGTCCCCTTCTGTTCCTCGAAAGCCCACAGGGGTAGGGGCCCCAGAGGGAGAAAAAATGCACCCTCCCAAAGGCACTTGCCACTTTTCCCAGCTAGGTGACTTTTTCCAGGACCTGGCTATTACATCACTATCTCCCCAACTGCTCCAACTGTGCCTGGCACACAGTAGGTGCTTAATAACTGTGTGTCAAGTGACTGCACACACATGAGCATGAGCATGCCGGCCACCTTGTGAAGGTGTGCATCCACCCCATTTTATCCCCACGACAGGGCCGGGATGGACTTGTAGTGCACTTACCCACAGAAGAGAAAACTGAGGCCTAAAGAGGTGGTACCAGCTATCAAGGGTCACACAGTGGGCCCTGGCCAGTTTGGCTCAGCGGTTAGACCGTCGGCCTGCGGTCCAGAGAGACCCAGGTTCGGTTCCCTCTAAGGGCACGTACCTCGGTTGCAGTTTGTCCCCGGCCCTCGATGTGTCCCTTTCACGTCAATGTTTGTCTCTCTCCCGCCTCCCACTCTATCTGAACAAAATTAATAAATAAATACATACATAAATAAATAAAAGAGCTAACATTTAATTTTTTTTAAAAAGGGTCACACCATGGGAGGTGACCACCTACAGACACACAGGGTTCTCCGGGGCCAGGGCTCTCCTTACCAGAATTTTAGGTTGTCTCTTCTGCCCCCTGAGCTGGTCCTACTAGGGGCAGAGCTAGGAACCCCCACCCAAGGCAGCCCCTCACCTTTGAGGAGAAGCGCTCATAGGAAAAATGGGGGCTCACCCCGCCCCCAACCCCACCATGTCCACTTGACTGGGCCCAGGATGACTCAATGTGAGATGGCTGAGGACTGAAGCCTGGGCACCAAGTGGGGATGAAAAGTGGGGGGAGTAGAGCCAGTCCTGGGAGACCTGTGAGGGTAAGGCACAGCCCTGCCCTGGGGTCTCAGGAGGGAGGCAGGCTCCCTTGCCTGGCCCTCAAGGGGCACAGGTATGCTCATAAGAGGCAGGGTAGGCAGGAGATCGGGAGAACAGTCCAGGTGACCATGGCCTCTGACCAACACGTCTCCCTTTGTTCACTGTTCAGCTGTGGGAGCAGGACCATTACAGGGAAGCTCAAACGAGGTGCTGCCTGAGGAGGCGGTAGAACATCTTGTCACTGGAGGTGACCAAGCAATAACGGATCTAAAGGGGTGGTTTTGGGAGGAGAGGCCACACAGGCAGCTATGTAGGCAGCTGGGGTGAGATGGGAAAGGCAGCCAAGTCTTTCCCAGGTACCACCCTGTGCAGTAGGACAGTTGGCTCTCAGGGACCACCTGACTTGGGCGCATAAAAGAGAGACACACTGCATGTTCTGAGGCTAAACCTGTACCCTGGATTGAGTCCTGATCTCAGGCTGAGCCTGGATTCCAGGCTGAGCCCTGATCCCAGACTGAGCCCTGATCCCAGACTGAGCCCTGGTCCTAGACTGAGCCCTGATCCCAGACTGAGCCCTGGTCCTAGACTGAGCTTTGACCCCAGGCTGAACCCTGACCTTGGATGAGTCTTAAACTTACTATGACCCTGACCCATGATCCTGGACCGAGCCCTGATCCCAAGCTGAGCACTGACTCTAATTTATCCCAAACCTCAACTAAACCCCAACCCCAGCTGAGCCCCTGACTCCTGGGCCAGGGAGCAAATTCAGGACTAAAGTACAACGCTGTGAGAGAGCAGCCTGACTAACAAGGCAGAACAATCCATCCCTGACCTCTCCTGTGAATTACTTGCTGCCTGGGAGAAAGGCCATACACACATCATGCCTTATTTAATCTTAAAATGATCTCTGTGCTGTAGAAGAACAAGCCCCCTCTAGAATCTGCCCTGAAACCACAGCTCTAACAATATGCAAGTTCACACACAGAACATTATTATTGTTGTTTGTAAATGACAAATATTAGCACCCCAAATGTCTGTACACGGGAGATAGGCTGATAAATTATGCTGCACCCAGAGCGGAGCACTACGCAGCTGTGAAAAGGAACAAGGATAACCTCTATGAATGAATGGAGTGATTTCCAGGTCATATTATTAAGTGGGGAAAAAAGAACAAAAGAGCCCGGCTGGTGAGGCTCAGTAGTTGAGCGTTGATCCGTGCACCAAGAGGTCACCAGTTCGATTCCTGGTCAGGGCACATGCCCAGGTTGTGGGCCTGATTCCTGGGGGGGAGGGGAGGTATGCAGGAAATGTCCAATCAATGTTCTCTCTCATCGATGTTTCTATCTCTCTCTCCCTCTCCCTTCCTCTCTCTCTAAAATCAATATAGAAGAAGAAGAAAAAAAGAACAAAAAATCTTAGGTCATATGGTACCTTTTGTGTACTAAAGAAGGGAGGATAAAATATACACATATTTGCTTGTTTTTGCAAAACAAACACAGAAGAGAAACCAGTAATCAGAGATTGTTTACCTATGGGTGGGAAGGATTGAAATTAAAAAGAGGGAATGACACCCTCTGAGTGTTCCTTTGCATAGTTTTTTATTTTTTATTTTTTTAATCCTCACCCAAGGACATTTTTCCATTTTTTGCACAGATAGAGTGGGAGGGAGAGAGAGAGAGGGAAACATCGATGTGAAAGGGACACATCGAGTGGCTGCCACCCGCACGACCAACCAGGGCCGGGGACAAACTGCAACCGAGGTACATGCCCTTAGCGGGAACCGAACCCGGGTCTCTCCGGACCGCAGGTGGATGCTCTAACCGCTGAGCCAAACCGGCCAGGGCCCTTTGCATAGTTTTTGAACTCAGTCAATGCTTCCTATAGTCAACAGGAATGGAGAAAAGAACTTTAAGATGGAATAGAAATAGAAATAATTAACATAATTGCATTTCAAATGGAAAACATAACCACACAGAAATAGAAAAGAACCAGTCCATGTAACTTTTGGACATAGTACTTGCTCTAAAGACAAAAGAAACTGCAAAGAGATTTTGAACTTAGTTTAGGAGATTTATTCTGGAGAGTGGTATGTGGGTAGTAATTCTGAAATCATCATGTGGGACAATGTTATGGGACTGAGCACAGTGCAATGGCATTGATATTAAGACCCAGATCTTGCCCTGGCCGGTTTGGTTCAGCGGTTAGAGTGTCAGCCTGCGGACCAAAGAGTCTCAGGTTTGATTCTTGTCAAGGGCACGTCTCTTTTTCACGTCGATGTTTCTCTCTCTCTCTCTCTCCCTCCCTCCCACTCTATCTGAAGATAAAATAGAAACATATCGAATGAGGATTAAAAAAAATTTTTTTTTTAAAAGAGCCAGGTCTTGCCCTTGCCGGTTTGCTCAGCGGTTAGAGCGTTGGCCTGTGGTCTGGAGAGACCCGGGTTCGCTTCCCGCTAAGGGCACGTACCTCGGTTGAGTTTGTCCCTGGCCCTCATTGGGTCGTGCGGGTGGCGACCACTCGATGTGTCCCTTTCACGTCGGTGTTTCTCTGTCTCTCTCTCCCTCCCACTCTATCTGAACAAAATATCAAAAAATGTCCTCGGGTGAGGATAAAAAAAAAAAAAAAGAGCCAGGTCTTCACTCAGAAGGAAGATGTAGATATGGAATGGGAGAATGCAAAAGAACCCCACAGGACTAGACAGGATTGAAAGTGTCAGTGTGGACACTTTCAAGCTGACCCCCAACAAAAATCTGTTTCCTGACTCTGTCCACTGAAACTCCCAAATAGCAATGGAGCATCAAACACATGGATCTTGGCTTCTGAATATCACCCCCTTCAAAAAAAAAAAATGGAGTGAGGCAGAGAGAGTGCAAGATGAGCCTGGAACATGTTTGTGTGTCAGAAAGTAAGAAAGTGCTCCGAGAAGGATGGGTATCTGTCACGAGATGCAGGAGCCAGACTGAGGGGCTGCTGCTGGCCAAACCTGGAGCTATGTGAGCACCAGCAATGAATGATCTTAAAATCAGAGAGACGGGAAGTAGATGGTGGGGGCTGAGGTGTAAGGGAGGGGGAGGGGCAGTTAGTACTTAATGGGGACAGTTTCAATTTTACAAGACGAAAGTTGTGGAAATGGATGGTGTAGATGATTTTGTGATGGGAACCTCTCACAGACACCAGAGAGGTGTTATCAGACAGCACCCTGAGTCGGAGGGAGAGAGCTGTCTCCAGCCTCGATTCTTGTCTTCTTGAATAAATGAATTTACACAAGAGACCTTGGTTGCATTGTGATAAATCCAATTTATTAAAAAAAATGAAAGCATGTACATTTATTAAAGAAGCAAGGCAAGCAAATCTATACATCTGGCTTATGAGGTGCAGATGGGCTCTCATCTAATCTGAAGAGCCAGTAGGGTGGGGGTTTCTGCCTTATATACCCTCCTGTCTATAGGTTTTTTTTGGTTTTTTTTTATCCTCACCCGAGGACATTTTCCCATTTTTTTGTTCAGGTAGAGTGGGAGGGAGAGAGAGGAACAGAGAGAGAGAGAGAAACATCGATGTGAAAGGAACACATTGAGTGGCTGCCACCCGCATGACCGACCAGGGCTGGGGACAAACTGCAACCGAGGTACATGCCCCTAGCAGGAACCGAACCCAGGTCTCTCAGGACCGCAAGTCGACGCTCTAACCGCTGAGCCAAACCGGCCAGGGCTGTCTATAGGTTTTTTGAAAAATTCCTCTGCTAGATATCCTGGTACAGATGAACTCTAGTCTCCTCTTTTCTTTGTTATGGCTTTTCCACAATTTATGAGAAGCACCTGGCAATTAAATCCCAAGACTGTTGTTGGCTTTTCTGTTTACACAGTGGGATGAGATAAAGCTGCGCTCTGATTTGTACTAAGTGGTCTTTGGTTACTGAGAATTTGAATTAGGATTCCTCCTCTTATCTCCTTTCCAATCCCCCTCCACTCCTACATTTTTTTTAGAGGAGGTGTTTAACCCTGTGTTTTTAAGGAAGACCCTGTTCCATGTGACCTGCAAAGCTTTTTGGCTCTGTTTAATTTTCCTGCCTCAGTTTCCCTATTCCACTTAGCTTTCTTTTTAATCCTCACCCGAGGACATTCTTCCATTTATCTTCAGATAGAGTAGAAGGGGGACAGGAGGGGGAGAGAGTAGAAGGGGACAGAGAGAGGGAGATAGAGTAGAAGGGGGACAGAGAGAGGGGAGGAGAGAGAGAGAGAGAGAGAAATGTGAGAGAGACACATCCACTGGTCGCCTCCTGCACGACCCCGACCATGGCTGGGACTGAACCGCAACCCAGGTACATGACTTTGACTGGAATCAAACACAAGACTCTTTGGTCCTTGGGCCGACGCTTAAACTGCTGAGCCAAATTGGCCTGGGCAGATTTTTATATACTTTTTATTTATTTTTAAAAATATGTTTTTATTGTTTTTTTTTTTTTATAGAGGGAGGAAGGGAAAGAGAGATAGAAACATCCATGTGAGAGAAACATGGATGGGCTGCCTCCTCTACACCCCCTACTGAGGACTGGGCCCACCACCCAGGCATGTGCCCTAACCGGGAATCAGCTGAGACCTCTCAGTCCATGGGACGACACTCAATCCACTGAGCCACACTGGCCAGGCTTTTCTAACTTTACATTGTCCTATAACAATTGCACAACAATGTAAATATGCTTAATGCCACTGAATGTTACACTTACAAGGGTTAAAATGGTCAATTTTATGTTGTGTGCATTTTACCACAGTAAAAAAAATTAGAAAGATTTATTTCCCTATGATCCAGTAATTCCACTCTTAGCATTTAGAAAAAAAATTACTCTTTTGTAACCATCATAGCATTAATTGACCCAGGCAATAATCAATAATAAATGCTAAAATTATTGGGTGGAATTTTGTTGGGGAGCAGGATATTTACACAATCTCAAAGTATCTTCCTACAGAGTACATATTAATTACAAAGAGAAAAATATCTTACCCAAGAAACTTGGTGAATGTCGCCTTGACCAAGAGATCTAAGTTAACATCACCAGAAATGCAATAAATAAACATGGCTGGTCTCTTAATATCACACACTGAGGATACATCATTTCTACAATATTTCAAAATATACGCTCTGCATCAGATCATAAGGAGGCATCAGACAAACCCATACTGAGAACATCCCACAGAATAATTGGCCTATACTCTTTGAAAGAGTCAAGGTCATGAAAGGTCATGAAAGTCAAAAAAGGCTAGGGCTGTCTTGTGGTAGGCAGTTAGACAGATATGAGCAGAGCAAGGACAATGGGCCAGGTGAAAAAGGTGACCAGGGCAGAAAGCCCCATATGCCTAGCAAAGAACAGTTGTAGAGTGGGGCCTCATCCCAGGTTGACCTTTCCTCCCCCAGTATATAGCTGGTCATGTGGTTTGGACCCCCTGACCCTTCCTCCCTAGAGATAACATCTAGACCTCTGTTGTATTTCAGCTCCAGGCCCAGAAAAGCAGCAAAACCAGACAAGGGACACCACCTCAGGACCAGCTGCATTGAATAATGACACCCTGCCCTGGAGCCTATCAATCAATCAGTGGAGACCCTGACCCTGAAAGGACACACCTGGACAGCTGCTGCTGTTGTCTACTGAGATTTCCCCCTGGGACCTCCCCTACGCTCTCCACGCCCAAAACCCTTAGGCCAGAGGACCTAGCAGGCTCCCTTGCCTTTTCCTTTCCTCCCCGCCCCCCCACCATGTCGCCGTTACCTTCTTCACTTTTAAGCTCCAAGGGCCCTTCTTATACCTCTATAGCTTGTTTCCTAAGCCCATTTCTTTGGCAAATCACTTCTTCTACCTCTGTGGTTTTCCAAACAAATGTTCTTATAATTGGAATCTTGGCTCTGAATTCTTTCCTAGTCAAAACCCAAGTACTGAAGTTTGTGAACCCAGGTCCGGTCCGACCCTAGCAGTCTAACACCTGGCGCCATTTTTGCTGCCACAACAAAAGAAGATCCAAAATGCATGAAACTAAATGCAATGAGTGGTCCCCAAGTGGATACTAGAAAGGGGGGAAGCTGCTGTAAAAGACAATATTGAGGAAATTTCCGCATGGGCTGTATATTAGATAATATTATTATATCAATGCTGGATTTCCTGAATTTGACTATCGCCCTCTGTTTATATAACAAGTTTTTTTCATAGGAAATACATGGTGCCTTGGAGTAAAGGTGCACGATATATCCCACATACTCTTAAATTATTGAGAAAATTAAGAAAAAGAATGTGTGCATATTCTTTATGGAATACATAATGCACTTTTAGATTTAGTTTACAGAGAACTATAAAGCAAAAGGTTAACCATAGGCAAATCTAGCTCAGGGGTTAGCAAATTTTTTCTGCAAAGGGTCAAAGAGTAAATAATTTCAGCCTTGAGGGCCAGACAGTGTCTACTGAAACTCTGCCCTCCATAGGAAAAGTTACCAGAGACCATATGTAAATTATGGGTGTGGCTGTGTGCCAATAAAACTATTTACAAAAACAGACATACAGCAGATGGTTTGCTGAACCCTGACCTAGATGAAGGGTAGATGGGAATTCATTGCAATAGTTTTATAACTTCTACAGGTTTAAATTATTTTCAAAATAAAAAGATGAGTGAAGAAAACATGGATTTCCTAACTTTGTGGTCAGTGTGCTCTCTGAACACCTCCATTAAAACGGATCAGGGCTCCTTGGAGAAATGGCCGAATGCAGAGCTGGGGCTGCGAAAGTATAGGACAAGAAAAAGGCATCTCACTGTGCCAAAACTAAGTTCTCTTAAGTGGAGAACTTTTAAGATCTCCAAGGTCGTGTCAAGAGGACTGAGGAGCCCACCCAAAGAGGTTCCACAGGCCACAAGCCAAGGGACGCCTGGGGCTATCAGAAGCTGGAAGAGGCAAGAAGGATCCTGCCCTAGAGCTTCAGAGGGAGTGTGGCCCTGCTGCTGCCTTGATCTCAGACTTCTGACCTCCATCACTGGGATGGATACATTTCTGTTGTTTTAAGCCACCCAGTCGGTGGTACTTTGTTACAGCAGCACCAGGAAAAACACCTGACCAGCACTCTTCAAAACTGTCAAGGTCACAAAAACAGGGAATGTCAGAGAAACCATCACAGCCAAAAGGAACTTAAGAAGATATGATGACCAAATGTCATGTGGGGTCCTGGGACTAAAAAAAAAGGATATTAGGAAAAAACTGAGGAAATCTAAATAGAGTATAAATTGTAGTTAATTATGTGTCAATACTGGTTCACTAATTGTCAAAGAAAAGTACCATATTAATGTAAGATGTTAATAGTAGGGGAAATTGGGTGTGGTTTTATAAGGCAACTCTCTCACAATTTTTCTGTAAATCTAACACTATTCTAAAACATAAAGTTTTTTTTTCTTTCTGTCAATCCTCACCCAAGGATATTCTTTCATTGATTTTTAGCTAGAGTGGAAAGGAGAGAAGGGGAGAGAGAGAAACATTGATATGAGAGAGACACATCGATTGGTTGCCTCCTGCACAACCCCGACCAGGGCTGGGGACTGAATCTGCAACCCAGGCAGATGCCCTTGACCAGGAATCTAACCTGCAACCCTTTGGTCCACGGGCTGATGCTCTAACCACTGAGCAACTGGCCAGGGCCATAATGTTTTGTTTTTTAATCCTCACCCGAGGATATTTTTTACATTAATTTTCAGATAGAGCTGAAGGGAGAGGGGGAGGAAGAGAGAGAGAAAGAGAAACATCGATGTGAGAGAGACACATCGATTGCTGGCCACCTGCACAACCCAACCAGGGCCGGAGACAAACTGTAACCGAGGTACATGCCCTTAGCGGGAATGGAACCTGGGACTCTTTGGTCCAGGGGCAATGCTCTTACCGTTGAGTCATACCAGCCAGGGCCATAACATTTTTAAGTAAAAAAAAAAAAAAAAAAGTGTTGAATGAATAGAATCTTGGCTGTGTGACCTCCCAAGTGTAAGACCTTAGTCAAATTCAGTTTCTTCATGCCTCAGCTTTCTCATCTGTAAAATGGGAATGATAAGGCTAGTGCTACATGGGGCATCCCTGAGGATGGTGGGACACCACGGTCTGGCATCAGTGGAGTCATTATCTTCATCTTCATCAGAGATGGGTGGGAGCTGCTGCTGGAATTTGGGGTGAATAGCAACACAAAGTGGACTTAAATAAACCCCCTCTGGGGAGAGAGGTTGGACTCCACGTAATGGCTCAAAGTTCACACTTTCCCTGACAGCTCTGGGCACTGTGCCCAGCACAAAACCTTTTTCCTTCCTTCTCCATGTTTCTATCCCACCTGGGACAGGAGACCTGAGAAGGGACCGCGAGGGGGACAAACACTACACCCCTAAGAAATCACAGGTCTCCAGAATAGCATTTCTTTAATGTCCAACTCACAAGGGGCCCTGCAGGTGAGGGAATAAATACAGTAGGTTTTAAGATGCAGCGCGCCCAGCCCCCAGCCTGGAAAGGAGGGGGATGCCTGTGGGTCTGTTTCCCTCATCTGCAAACCGTAACAGGACTTACTCTGAGTCACGAAGCTCTTAAAGGGGCACCGTTTTCCAGGGGTCTCTTCTCCCAGAAGGGAGGTCTCTAAGCTAGCCAGACCTCAAGCTGGGAGATGCCGTCTTCTGTCCACTAGAGGGCGCCAGAGTCAGGTTCCAGGGCCTGAAGGACAACTGCCCGACCCCTGGGGGTGTGCATCACCCCTAGGGGGTTCCAGACTCCTTTCCAGGAGGGGACACACCGGGAGGTGGGATCCTGAGAGAGCCCCACCCACACAAGTCCTCCATCCCCTGCTCTCCATCTTTTCCTCCACCCTGGGATCCCAAATGGCCTTGTGCTCCCTTTCCGAGGAAGTAAACTGAGTCAAGAGAGGGGATCCCAGGGGCTGTCCTGGAGTGGGGCAGAGGAGGGACAGTGACTAGCCTTCCATGCCCAACTCACTCGTGGTCCTCCCCCACCCGGGCCTGGAGCGACGCGGCGGTCTGGGGCTCTGAGCGCCGGCCCCGCCCGCAGGCCCTGGCTGCCACGCGCTCTTCCGAGCCAGGGGGAGGCGGAGCCTGGGTCACAGCAGGTTGATCTCGTCGAGGTAGCGGGCCAGCACCGAGTCCCGCACGTCCTTGAAGACTTTACGGATGTTCTGCGTGTCCGTGGCGCACGTGTAGTGACTGAAGAGGCGCCGGGAGCGCGAGCCCTTCCCGCTCCCGTCAGCGGCGTCCACACAGCCGTTGTACATGCGGGTGTACATGTCCAGGATGAACCTCTTGGCTGCCTCCGCGTCCTGCTTCGGGCCTACGGGCAGGGGTGAGGGCAGTCAGGGCACAAGACTCCTGAGGCAGGCGGGGACCCTCGCCCCTGGGACCAAGGAGGGCGGGGACTCTAGAGACTCTCTTCCCAACGCGGGCAACTTAGGGCTGCAGGAACCCCAGCCAGCACCCACTACAATTCTAGCAGGTGGATGCCATCTTTTAACTTTCTGGCAGGCCACATGACCTGGGGTGGACCAGTGAACCTCAGCTCTGGGATTCTGATTAGAACTTGTGTTGAAGAGAGACTCCCTTGGGCGGGGGGGGACTTGGAGCTTGCTAGAGGGATGGGAACCGTAGGGATGGGAACCAGAGCTGCAGAGACAGAGGCTGGTGCAGAAGGGGAAACTGAGGCCAAGAAAAGGGGAGCCCTGGTGAGGCACATGGGCCACTGTATTGAAAATACAGCATGAGTTAAGGGCCCAACACTTGGCTCTGCTACTTACTAGTTTGGCTACATGTTAATCCATGTAACCTATGTGAGCCTCAGTTTCCTGGTTTGTAAAATTGGGATCAGAACAGTCCCAGGCCTCCCAGGGTTGAAAACATTAAACGCTATCATGTCCAGGGCTCTGTGCTCAATAATCAGAAAGCGTCATGAGTGTGTGCTATCATTCTTTTTAGAAAGGCAGGTGAGCATAGTGTGTAAGACCTGCCATCTCTAAATCCAGATGGCCTGGGTTGGAATCCTGCCTCTGTCACTCACTGGCTGTATAACTTCTGGCAAGGGACTGTACCTCTCAGTGCCTCGGTTTTCCCATCTCTAGAGTGGTGAGAAGAATGAGTCCTACTGCACAGGGGGTTTTTTGTTTGTTTGTTTTGTTTTGTTTTTTTATCCTCACCCGAGGGCACTTTTTCATTTTTTGTTCACATAGAGCAGGAGAGAGAGAGAGGAAGAGAGAGAGAGAGAGAGAGAGAGAGAGAGAGAGAAATATCGACGTGAAAGGGACACATCGAGTGGCTGCCACCCACACGACCAACCAGGGCCGGGGACAAACTGCAACTGAGGTACATGCTCCTAGCGGGAACTGAACTCGGGTCTCTCTGGACCGCAGGCCGATGTTCTAACCACTGAGCCAAGCTGGCCAGAGCTGAGTGATTATCTTGACCAATAGAATGAGGTGGATGTAACTGTCTGAGGCTAGGTCATGAGCAGAGGTTTCCACCTGGGCTGAAGTCTGGCCATCCTGACACAGCCATGCTATGAGCTAGCCTGGATAAGGATACACCATTGGGGGCAGGGAGAGGGAGAGAAAGAGAAAACAGAGAGGGAGAAGGAGAGAAGGAGAGAGAGAGAGAGTTTTTTGTTTTTTGTTTTTTTTTATCCTCACCTGAGGATATTTTTCCACTTTTTGTACAGATAGAGTGGGAGGGAGAGAGAGAAAGGGAGAGAGAGAGAGAAACATCGACGTGAAGGGACACATCGAGTGGTTGCCACCCACACGACCAACCAGGGCTGGGGACAAACTGCAACCGAGGTATGTGCCCTTAGCGGGAACCGAACCCGGGTCTCTGTGTACCGCAGGCCAACGCTCCAACCGCTGAGCCAAACCGGCCAGGGCGAGAGAGAGAGTTTAAGAAGGAGGAGGAGGAAGGGAGAGGTGGAGGAGCACAGTCACCATACATGTGGTGCAAGAAGCCATCTTGGAAGTGCATCTCTAATCTCAGCCACCCCAGCTGATGACACATGGATCACAGGTGAACAACTGCCTCAACCTTTCCCAAATTCCTCACCCTCATAATCATAAGCAAAGTAAAACTTTGGGAGAATTTGTTACTCATTTGGGATACCTCTAGAGACTCCCTTTACCCTCACAGTGGCACTCTGGGGAAAGTGCTAGCTGATACGTGCCTTCCCTGATTCACCAAAACCTCACGCTCCCTCTGGAAGATACACTACATGGTGCCCAACACTCATTGTACTCCACTCTAGTGGGCCGAGGCCCTTTGCACCTTGAGTTGCACCAAAGATTTGTTCCCAAACTTGTATTCCTCCTGATTAATATGCACTTAATGAGACACTGCACAGATCTATTAGCTATAAGCACAGCATGAAAGAGGCTGGTTGTATCTATGAAAACTGAGCTGTGTGCTTTGGAAAGACTTGTTTGGAGATCAGTCACAGATTTAAAAATAAAAATGCCACCCTGGCTGGTTTGGCTCAGCAGTTAGAGCGTCAGCCCAAGGACCAGAGTCACGAGTTCGATTCTAGTCAAGGGCACGTACCTCAGTTGCGGTTCAGTCCCCGGCCCTGGTGGGGTCGTGTGGGAGGCAACCATTCAGTGTCTCTCTCACATTGATGTTTCTCTCTCTCTCTCCCCCTCCCACTCAAACAGAAGATAAACGGAGAAGTATCCTTGGGTGAGAATTTAAAATCAATAAAATAAAATAAATAAATAAAAATGCCCGGTCACTGTGGCTCAGTGGATTGAGTGTCGTTCCATGGACTGAGAGGTCCCAGTTCCATTCCCAGTCAGGGCACATGCCCAGGTTGGGGGCTCAATTCCCCAGTAGGGGGCGTGCAAGAGGCAACCGATAGATGTTTCTCAAAAAATCAATATAAACATATATATTTTTTTAAATGCTATCTAATTAGGTATAGCTGAGATGACTATGAAAGTTAGAAAAAGAAAAGTTGTCAAAAATCTAAACAGATTCTGGAAATAGTTGTCAACGTCTTCTGGGTATGCTTTATGACAATGACCTCTATCCAGCAGACCCACCTTCACAAGATCTATAATATATGTTTTCTGAGAATCCTCCACGTTAAGCAATTACATTGAGTATGAAGGTATCTGTTATTTTATCCCCATTCTACAGATGGGAAAACTGAGAACAGAGAGAGGTTGGACAGTGGAAGGATCTGAGTCTGGAACTCAGGTCTATCCAATCATATTTGAAACTCCACTGATTCCAGACTGGGGTAGGCCCTGGCTGAGCATCTCTCTCGGGAGCTTCTTTTGGGAGGTAGGATATAGAAAGTTCTAGAACACTTACCCTGGAAACTGGGGAAGTAGGTAGCAAGGTGGGAGGTGGAGATCTTCTCCTCCAGGATGTCGGTTTTGTTGAGAAAGAGGATGACGGATGTGCTTTTGAACCAGGGCAGTTCCAGGATCGTGCCAAACAGGGCCAGACTCTCCTTCATTCTGTTCTGGGTTGGGGGACACAGGCAGTTCATTGCTCAGGTTGGCCAGCTCGACATGAACAGGAGCCCTCCCCCTATGTGAAGATGGGTCTCAGGGGGTGTGGCCAGCTGCCTGTGTGTGCCCAATATGGTTTTGTGCCTCAGCTGGTTTGACTAGTGTTCCCCACATATTCATGTCCACCTGGAATTTCAGAATGTGATCTTATTTGGAAATAGGGTCTTTAAAAATGTAAGTCATTAAGAGGTTATACTGGATGGCCTTAAATCCAATTATTGATGTCCTTATAAAAAGAGGAAATTAGGACACAGCCACCCATATTAGGAGGACATTCTGTGATGATGGAGGCAGAGATGGGATGATGCATCTACAAGCTAAGGAACACCAAGGACCGCCAGGGACACCAGCAGTTGGGAGAACATGGAACATATTCTCCCTCATGGCCCCAAGGAACCAGCCCTGCCAACACCTTGATCTCAGACTGCAGCCTCCAGAACCTGGAGAGAATACTTTTCTGTTGTCTCTGTCGCCCTGTTTGTGGTCATTTGTTATGGCCACCCGAGCAAACTAGAACATGTCACGTGGTTGTATTGGAGTGAGAGCTATGTCAGAACGACCTCAAACTCGTTCTGTCTGATTCAGTCTGAAAGTCAGAATTATAGCACCTTCCTCTCAAATGCCCAAACTGTCTATGTGACACTTTAACCACTAAAAGCATACCTGCCAGAAATAACAGTGCCCGACCTCCATGCTGGATGTTAATAAGGAGAAGAGGTCATAAAAGAAGATTGATCCTCACCAGCATTTCTGAATAAAAGTGTGATATTATTTCCAGGACAGTCTGTGTTGTGCTTCCAGGGGGTCGTGTCTCAGAACATGACTGTCCCTCTGTGTGTGTGTGTGTGTGTGTGTGCGCGCGCGCGCGCACGCGCGTGTGCCACGTGAGTGTTTCTGGCATCACAAATGCTTGTGGATCTGAGTCCTGGGGCTCAATGGTCTGATCATGAAAGAGTGGAAGGTGAGGCTCAAAGCCACACTGGACACACACAGGCCCGCTCAAGCGTGGCACTGGGGCTTGCTGCCCGGCTGCGGGTCCCTGAGCCAATGGGAGGAGGAGAGCAGAGAAGCAGTGGCCCCTCACCTCTTGGTTGTTCTCCTCCAGGCACTGGTCGTATTCGCTCAGCGAGGCCAGGTAGATGAGGGCGATCACGTTCTCAAAGCAGTGGATCCACTTCTTGCGTTCTGACCTCTGGCCCCCGACATCAACAATCCTACCAGAATTGCCCCCTTTCAGAGCTCAGGCTTAGCCAGGACCCCACAACATGGTACCCCAGACCCCACTCTGAGACATGCCAAGATCAAAATGATGAGCAGCAAGAATAGGGGCCAGCCGTTGGGCCCACGCCTCTGTGTGTTATTGCATTTCACCCCCATGGTGTCACTATTACGTCCATTATACAGATGAGGACACTGAGGTGCAGAGAGGAGGAGGGACTTTCCCAAGCTCCTACTGCACTGGGTGGTCTGATTTCTACTCTCATGGTGAAGGACAGCAGGTCGGACACATCTGGAGTCTGCCCTGGTTCTGGCTGGTGGACCCAGAGGAAACTGCAGACCATCTCCACAACTCAAGTTTTCCCACCAGTAAAATGGGGCTGCTATGTTCTGGCTGGCCAGGGGACTGTCCAGTGGCAAGCACCATCCCCTCTCTGTGTGGCCCAAGGAGAGCACCAGGCCTCCACCCCCACACACCACAACAGAAGCACGAACCCTCCTGCCTTCCTGTGCTCCCTTCTAAGAAATGTGGGTCACTGATAACAAGCCCTGCGTCATTTCCCCGGGGATACGACTGTTACTCAGACAGCCAACAGGAAATGCCAGAAGCTTCAGAGCAAGAAGGGACTTGCCCGCTGTACAGGAGGGGTAAGAGGCTAGAGACCAACCCCTCTCATGTGCCAGACTTCCTCAAACCCCCATATCCAGAGTTAGACGTGCGTGCAGTGGTTGAGAGTGGGGCTCTGGAGACTGAGACAGAGCTGGGGTACACTATTTGCCAGCCTCCCAACTCAGAGTCTTAGTTTTCTCTGAGCCCTCACTTCATTGATTAACCTCTCTCCTTAGCCTAAGAACACACTCAAGTCTCCCACCTAAAAATCCCTCCTCAGCCCAGACTTCCCTGTGAATATCCCCAACCTCTACCTTCACTTCTAAACTTTTTTTTTATCCTCACTCGAGGACATTTTTCCATTTTTTGTTCAGATAGAGTGGGAGGGAGAGACAGGAAGAGAGAGAGAGAGCGAAACATCGACATGAAAGGGACACATTGAGTGGCTGCCACCCACACAACCAACCAGGGCTGGGGACAAACTGCTAACCCTTAGCGGGAACCAAACCCAGGTCTCTCTGGACCGCAGGCCGACGCTCTAACCGCTGAGCCAAACTGGCCAGGGCTTCACTTCCAAACTTTTACCCATACATCCACCCATCTATATACATCTATCCACCCACCCACATAACCATCCATTCACTGACCTCTCCGTTTATCTACCCATCTTCCCACCCATCCATCCATCTACCTACCCATGCATCCACCCATCCATCCTCAAATTCATCCTTCCATCTTTCCAGCCATCCTCCCACAATTAGCAACTTCCACTCTGATAGTGATCTCTTCATCACTATGAAGCAGGAGGCTGAAACTCAGCCCCTAACCTTGTGGGACTCTCCATCTAGGGGAGGAAACCCATGGCAAACAGCTAAGTTATTAACCTTCCTGGAAAGGACTGTTGCAGAGGCCAGAGCAGCATGTTTGGGGTGGGGGGAGGTGGTCCAGGGAAGTCAGAGGCTCAACATGGGTGGGTTGATCACAGCCCCTGTCTCCAGGCACCACCCTGCACTCTCCACAGCTCCCTGCCATCAGCCCACAGACACAGAGCTTGCTAAGGTCACTGATGACCCTCTAACTGCTAACCCCAGAAATTGATTCTCCCACTGTATTCTTCCTGACCTCTCCTTGGTCTTTGACACTGACCATCACCCTATCTGGACCTCATCTTGCTGCACCGGCCACCCACAACTCTGTCTTCCAGTTCAAGCCTGTGTGTGTCCAGTCACCACCCAGCTGCCCTAGACCCCTCAGACTCTGTGCCCCAAGGACTTCATCATCTTATCTAATACCACCCATCCTGCTGCTGCCATGGTGGCTCCACCTTCTACCCTGTCACCTTGATGGGAAAACTGGGAGTCACTTTCAAATCCCTGCTCTAATTCCCTCATTCATCTAGCCCTGCCTTTTCTACATCAGAAACATTTCGTGCACCGTTCCCTCATTTCCATCCCCATGGACACTTCCCTGGCCCTTACTAACCCTTCCTGCCTGGACCATGGCTCCTGCCTCCTCCTGACTCTCCGGACCTCTAGTCTTACCCCCTTATTGACCACTAGAGGGATCAGCCTCTGAACTTCCCCAGCCCAAATCCATCCCTCTAGCATCGCTCTGACCACACAGTCTCTGTCTTCTCCTGCACAACAGCCCCTCAAGTGCCAGTGTTAGTGAACTCCTACTCATCCTTCAATGCCCTAATACCAATGTCCCTTCCTCCAGGAAGACCTCCCCTCCCAGAGCTCTGGTGCCTTATTCTAGTCTCTTCCAGGTCCTGATCCTGATTGTATGGGGGGGGGGGGGGGAGCTGGAGGTATCTATATCCAGTTGTGCCTCCTTTAGCCTGGGAACCCCTTGAGGGCTGGGTCTAGGAAACTCCTGCTCATTCCTCAGGGCCCCAGCTGCTTTGCCCCTCCTCCAGGAAGCACTCTCCACTGAGCAGGCTGTGTGCTCACCGCAGGTTGGTTTTCTGTACGGAGAAGCAGTACTCATTGATGCCAGTGGTGGGCATACGGCTGCGAAGCACGTCCTGGGCCGTGGGGATGTAGTCCTCCTCAGTGATGCGCTCCAGGTGCGACAGGTAGCTGGGGAGCAAGGAGCCCTGAGCCTGTTCTTGCAGCCTCCCTTGGCTTCTCAGACCCACCACCCAGGTCCCAGTGAGGGTCCCACTAGGGCAGAGAGCCCCAGGGAGGAGCCAGGATGTCTAGGGTCTGCGGGTGGCCCAGAATACCACCCTGAGGCCATGGGAGCATTGCAAGAAGCAGCTTCACCCTTGGAGTAGCATGATCCCAAGGACAGTGTGACCTCAAGCATACCAACATTGCAGAGGCGCGTCACCTTGGAGAGCTGTCACCAGGAGTGGCATTGGGAGCTATTGATGGCCTAGGAGCAAATCACCCTGAGCACCCAGCGTCATGCTCAGGACACCATCACCAAGTGAAAATGAGCAGCATCACCCCATAAATGGTGTCACCTGGGACAGCATCACCCTAGGAACTGTGTCACTTTGGAAATGACATCACCCCCAAAAAAGGGTCGCCCCAGGGACAACGTTACCCCAGAAAAACCTCACCCGAGGAACACTGTCAACCATCCCACAGCCAGCTCATGCCCAGCAGCCTGTTCCCAAGGTGGGAGCCGGCCACCTGGGACCCCCTCTGTCCAGGTGCAATCCGGGGACTGGGCCTCTGCAGGCTGCGTCTCAGCCTGTAGTTGTGCCCAGTGACCACCTCACCCCCAGTCCCTGCCTCTGGCCCCTGCTCCCCTCACCCACCACTGGGACCCCAGACTTACTACACTGCTGAGTCAAGCAGCTGGAACTCGCGCCGGCGCTCGTAGCAGGCCCGGATGCCGGCGTCACTCCACAGCCACTGCATGGCCACTGCATAGCGCTTCTCAAAAGTGGTCACTTTGTAAGGGTCCTGGCTCATGATCAGGCTGGCATGGTGCTGGAGGGATGGACAAGGCAGGTCAGAGAAGTTTCCCGACATCCCAGCAAGCCCCTTCTCCTCCTTTCTCAGCTGCCTCTCCTTCCGAGCCCATGCACAGCCCTGCACACTCCCACCTCCTCCATTCATTCCTGCATTTCCTCACAGAGCGAGTGCCTGCCCCAGCACTACGGGCCGCAGAGAAACACGTTCCACAGGACACTGGAGATAAAGACCAGGCCCATGTGCCTCCGAAGTGCAGGACACCCCTCCTGTCTTCACAAGCACTGTTTCCTCCACTCCTAGGAGACAAGTCCCTACAGGAGTCCCCCATTGACACATTAGCCTACTGAGGCATGAGAAGCAATCTGCCCAGGTCTCACATCGACGTAGGGCACCAGACAGCCCTAGGGGTAGGGAATGGGTAAGGTCCAGGTGTTTGTGAATAACCCCTGTGTGGTTTGCAGCCTGTTGTGGCTAGGATTTTGTCTCCCACCCATCCTCCGCAAATTCATATGTCTAAGTTCTAACCCCGAGGACCTCAGGGTGTGATTGTATTTGGAGATGGGGGGTCTTTACAGAGGTGATCAAGTTAAAAAGAAGTCATTAGAGTGGGTCCTGATCTAACATATGACTGGTGTCCTTATAGAAAAAGAATAGAGACGACCCTGTGAGGATACAGAGAGAAGAGAGCCATCTGCAAGCCAAGGAGAGAAGCCTGAGGAAAAACAAGGCCCGCCGACACCTTGCTCTCAGACGTCCAGCCTCCAGAATTGTTAAAAATAAATTTCTGGCCCTGGACGGTTTGGCTCAGCGGTTAGAGCGTCGGTCTGCGGTCCAGAGAGACCCGGGTTCAGTTCCCGCTAAGGGCATGTACCTCGGTTGCAGTTTGTCCCGCCCCGGTTGGGGTCATGTGGGTGGCAACCAGTCAATGTGTCTCTCTCACATTGATGTTTCTACCTCTCTTCCTTCCTCTTTCCCTCCCGCTCTATCTGAAGATAAAAATGCAAAAATGTCCTCAGGTGAGAATAAAAAAGAAGACAGAGAGAGAAGGGGAGAGAGAGAGAAAGAGAAACATTGATGTGAGAGAGACACATGGATTGGTTGCCTCCCGCATGACCCTGACCAAGGCTGGGGATAAAACCTGCAACCTAGGTACATGCCCTTGACCAGGAATCAAACCTGAGACCCTTTGGTCTGCAGACGCTCTAATCACCGTGCCAGGGCAGAAATTTTTAAAAATTTAAATTGCATTTATAGTAGTATCAAAAGATAGCAAATACCCAGTAATAAACCTAACAGTAGACATGAAAGTAACAAAGTGCTTATATCCAGAATATACAAAGATTTGCTACAAATCAGTAAACAAACAAACAAACAAACAAAAAAAACTAGGATCTATAATTTTTTTAATTGGGAAAAAAACAAAGAATGGCAAAAGATTTGAACAGTTGCTTCTCAAAAAAGAATATTCAAGTGTCCAAACAATATATAAAAAGGTACACAGGCTCATTATTAAATAGAGCAATGGAAATAAAAACCACAATGAAATGCCAGCAAGCACCCACCAGAATGGCTTAAATGCAGTGTCAGACAACATCAAGTGTTGATTAGGACAGGAAGCAACCAGAACTCTGCATGCTGCTGGTGGGAGTGTGAATTGCTACAATTACTTGGAAAACAGTTTGGTGTCTCCTATATGTCCCTTCTAGGTAGATACCCAACAGAAATATGCAGATGACCCAAATGTTAACAATATTAAAATGGACAAATAAATAAACAGTGGCATACTCTTATGGTGGAAATAAACTATGCCCCCAAAAGATAAATAAATCACAGGTATACTGTACAGTACCAGAAGTCGGACATAAAAGATCAATCCAGAAAGTTTGAGAATTTTAAATGTAGACAACCCATGTATGGCAATGGAAGATGGGATAGTGGTTATCCTTGGGGAAGCCTCCCTCTCATCTATAATACGGGGTAATAGCTGAAAGGGGTTATTGTGAGGATTAAATAATCATATCACCACTGACACCTACTGAGCCCATACTACATTCCAGGCACTGTTTTGAAAGCTTTGGGCATTTTAATTTATCTCATTCTTGTATCAGCCCTGTGAGGTAGGAACCACAGGCCCCCGATCGCTCTTCCAAATCCTTGGAGCATCTCAGATTCACAAATAAGATGCTACCTGATTAATACACGCTCAAAAAAGATTCAACTTTGTCTTTTTTCTGCCTATTGGCTTAGCGGCAACAGACAGTAATGGACCCATTGTTGTCCAGTAACAAAGTAACCTCACACCTGTTAGGTTGGCCATTATAAAAAACAAACAAACAAACAAAAAAAACCCAGCAAGTGTTGGTGAGGATGTGGAGAAATTTTGGAACCTGTGCACTACTGGTAGGAATACAAAATGGTGCAGCCACTGTGGAAAACAATGTGGAGGTTTCTCAAAAAAAATTAAAAATAGGCCCTGGCCGGTTTGGCTCAGCGGTTGAGTGTCAGCCTGCGGACCAGAGACTCCCGGGTTCGGTTCTCGCTAGGGGCACATACCACCAAAAACAAAACAAACAAACAAAAAAAAGCTTAAAAAAGCCCTGGCCGGTTTGGCTCAGCGGTTAGAGCGTCGGCCTGCGGTCCGGAGAGACCCGGGTTCGGTTCCCGCTAAGGGCACGTACTTCGGTTGCAGTTTGTCCCCAGCCCTGGTTGGTCGTGTGGGTGGCAGCCACTCGATGTGTTCCTTTCACATCGATGTTTCTCTCTCTCTCTCTGTTCCTCTCTCTCCCTCCCACTCTGCCTGAACAAAAAAAAAAAATGGGAAAATGTCCTCGGGTGAGGATATTAAAAAAAAAAAAAAAAAAAAAAAAATTAAAAATAGAATCACCAGCCCAGCCGGTGTGGCTCAGTGAACTGAGGTGGTCCCAGGGACTGAGAGGTCCCGGTTTTATTCCCAGTCAGGGTACCTGCCCGGGTTGCTTGATCCCCAGTAGGAGGTGTGCAGGAGGCAGCCGATGAATGTTTCTCTCTCATATCAATGTTGCTATCTCTCTTTCCCTTTCTCTCTCTCTAAAAAATCAATAAAAACATTAAAAAAAAATAGATCATCATATGATCCAGCAATTCCACTTCTGGGTGTTTATCTAAAAAAAAATAAAAAAAGAAAGCATATCTCGAAAAGATATGAGCACCCCCATGTACGTTGCAGCACTATTCTCAAAAGCCAAGATGTAGAAAAAAACCCAAATGTCCATTGACAGATGAATGAATATGAAAATGTGATCCTCCCTGGCTGGTTTGCTCAGTGGTTAGAGTGTCAGCCTGCGGTCCAGAGAGACCCGGGTTCGGTTCCCGCTAAGGGCGTGTACCTCAGTTGCAGTTTATCCTCGGCCCTGGTTGGTCATGCAGGTGGCAGCCACTCGATGTGTCCCTTCCATGTCTATGTTTCTCTCTCTCTCTTCCTCTCTCTCTCCCTCCCACTTTATCTGAACAAAAAATGGAAAAATGTCCTTGGGTGAGGATAAAAAAAAAAAAGAAAATGTGATCCATAAGTGGAATAGTATTCAGCCTTTAAAAAGAAGGAAATTCTTGCCCTGGCTGATTTTGCTCAGTGGTTAGAGCTTCAGGCCAAGGATCTAAGGATCTCAGGTTCGATTCCTAGTCAAGGGAATGTACCCAGGTTGCAGGTTTGATCCCCAACCACAGTCAGGGTCTTGCAGGAGGCAACCAATCAATGTGTCCCTCTCACATCGATGTTTCACTCTCTCTCTCTCCCTACCCTCCTTCCACTCTTCCTAAAAAAAAAAAAAAAAAATCAATGGAAAAAATATCCTCTGGTGAGGATTAACAAAAATATATATATTAAAAAGAAGGAAATTCTTGTAAAGTAGGCAACAACATGAATAAACCTTGAAGACATCACGTTAGGTGAGATAAGCCAGTCACAGAAGCACACATACTGCACGACCCCACTTACACAGGCAGCCAGATAGGCAGACTCAAGGGAACAGAGTAGATCGGGGTTGGGGAGGGGCACACGAAGTTGCTATTCAATGGGCAGAGAGTTTCGGTTGGTAGAATGGATAGTTCTAGAGCTCTGCTGCACAACATCCTTCCTCCAGTTAACACCACACTGTGCACTTAAAATTTGAGAGGGTAGATCTCATGTGGAGTGTTCTTATCACAATAAAATATTTTTTTTAAAAGGTGATGTGGCGCATGAACTGCATAGCAGCCTCTCCCTGCAGTAATCAGTCCATTGTATTAATATTTCCACACGGACAGGCATACAGGCATTGACTCAGGACTCCCATGCCCAAGGGGTCCAAGGATGGAGTCCTGGGGATACACAGGGGACCTGTGAGGCGGGGAGCCTGTTGGTGCGAAGCTGCCTGGAGTGCACGGCAGGATCCCAAGAAACCCCTGGAGGGGGTGTTCTTTTTTTTTTTTTTTTTTATTCCTCACCTGAGGATATTTTCCTACTTATTATCAGATAGAGTGGGAGAGAGGGAGAGAGAGAGACAGAGAGAAACATCGATGTGATAGAGCCACATGGACTGGTTGCCTCCCGCTTGACTCAACCAGGGCCAGGGACAAACCGCATCCGAGGTACGTGCCTTTGGCCGGAATCAAACCCATAACTCTTTGGTCCGCGGGCCAATGCTCTAACTGCTGAGCCAAACCAGCCAGGGCTGGAGTGGGTGTTCTTAACAAGGGCCTGGGTGTCCTAAGGAACCTGCCCCCTAGCGTGGCGCCCACGTAGCAGCCCCAGGATGCTCACCTTGCTCTCAGGCCTGCTGAAGGGGATCTGCAGTTGGTCCATGGCCTCGATCATGGCCCGCATGGACACGAAGATGTTCTGGTAGACCAGCGGCCGGAAGCCCTTGCGGTCCTCCTCCGAGTAGCCAGCGCCGTGGATGATGCGCATCTGCTTGATGAACGTGCTCTTCCCGCTCTCGCCTGGGCCTGCGGGTAGGCCATGGCTCAGTCTCAACCCCAACCTTCTGGGTTCAAATCCCCCTTGACCAAGGCCACACTCTGGGACCCTGCCAAGCATCTTCACAGCCCTCTGCCTCAGTCTCCCTACCTGCACACCCACCATGGACTGCAATAGGCCCTGCCTGCTCAATCAGTGTGAGGGCAAAATGAGTTCACTGTAAGGGGCTCTTAGGAGGTATCTGCAAACCATGGCCCTCAAGCCAAATCCAGTCATGGCCTGTTTATGCACAGCCAGGGAGTTTTTACAGTTTGTATGTATTTTCTGTTTCTGATACTTTCCATGGTTCTGGTTTTTACAATGAAAGAAATAAAAAAAAATTGTTTCATATCACATGAAAATTATGTGAAATTCAGGTTTCAGTGTCTATCAATACAGTTTTATTGGCACACAACCACACCCATTTGTGTTTAAATAATCTATGGCTGTTTTCTCTCTACAATGACAGAGCTGAGTAGTCAGTTAGAAACCCTCTGACGCACAAAGTTGAAAATATTTACTATATGTCTTTTTACAGAAGTTTGTGGACCATAGCTTAGAGCATACTTAGATATAGTAAGAGTTACATTAGTCTTCGCTATTATTATTAGTATCAATGTTTATCATAATTATAATTAATATTAATTGCTATAATAATCTCGGGTAGAGAAATTTCTTTGAAGGAAATAAAATAAGGTAGGTAAATAAAGAGTGTTTTGGTAATTACTATAGCTGAGTGTCAAGGAAGGTCTCTCGATGGAGGTGACGTAGAGTTGAAGGCTGAAAAGGCTGCTCTTGTGCCAAGATTTGAAGGAAGAACATGTCATGCAGAGGGCACAGCCTGTGCAAAGGTCCTGGTGCAGGACTGTCTGGCATGTTGGAAGAAAAATAAAAAGGCCCCGTGTGGCTGGAGAGGAAGAGAGAGAGGAAGTGATGGCAGGGAGGGGATAGGGCAGATCATGCAGGACCTTGTGGGAGGACCTTGGGCTTTTACCCCAAGGAGGTGGAAGTCCTTGAGGGCTATGGACAGGGGAGAAACAGGACCTGACTCAGGTGCTCACATGCACCCTCTGGTGGCTGCCATGGGGAGGACAGGCTGTGGGGTACTAGGGCAGAGGCACTTCTTGCTGGTAGAGGTAAGAAATGGTGGTGTGGACCCAGGAGCTGATGAGAACGGGACATATTTCCGAGATACTTGGGAGACAGAATCAACGGGGTCTTGCTGATGAACAAAAGTGGGGAGAGGGGCCCTTGCGGGGCCAGCTGCAGAACTAACAGGGCCCTTCTGAGAGGGCACTGGGGGACTGCCCAGGTTGTGCACACACAAAGCTGGCCCTGGGGTTGTGATATCAGTTCTGGAATCTTCAAAGGGCCGGGACCAGAAGCTCAAAGACAAAGGCACAGCTCCCTGCTTTCTGAGCTCCAGATCCTCCCTCCTTCTCTGTGCCTCCATTTTCTGTCTGTAAAATGGGTGTGATCGCCAGGCAGGAGGTGCAAGGTTGGAAGGCTCCTCCAACATCTGGTCACCCTTCCTGGCTCCTGGGGGACACAGGTGTGGGGGTTTTTCAGGGACCAGAGGAGGGACTGCTGCAGGAGGAACTGGAAAAGCAGTAAAAAGGGAAGGGGTGGCCTAGTTAGAGCCCAGAAAGAGGAAATGGGAGCACAAGGAGGGGAGCAGGGAGGAGACTGGAGTCTGTGGGAGGCAAAGAGAAGGAGGGTGCTACCTTGCATCACCCCCAGGGGCATCCTGGACCTTGCCCACCTCACCCCCAGCACATCTGAGGGTGACAACTGCAGGTCTGAGGTGGCACCAGGTGTTATAAATTCACTAGAATCGAGGTCTAAGAAAATGAGACACTATTGTGTCTAGACACCAATGTACTAAAGGACATTAGTGGGGACAGTGGGAGAGCTGGCAGATGTGAGTCGGGGTGGCACGGCTCACAGCATTATACCATGCTCATCACCAGCTTTTGGTCATGGTCCCGGGGGTCTTTGTTTTATAGTGAGACTCAAACCCACTGAAATATATAGGGGTAAAAAGGTGTCAGGGCTGCAACTTACAAACAATTCAGAAAAATGAATACATTATGTATTAAATATATAAATGTATAGCAAATACATTATGCTATAATCATGCATTCAATAAATTTTATATATATATACATACCCTTACATGTAGCATATACATATGTGTATATATTTGAGGGAGAAGGACAAAGAAAATGTGGTAAAATGTTAACATTTGCAGCCCTGCCAGCTAGCTCAATTGGTTAGAGCATTGTCCACATAGCCAAGGTTGCAGGTTCGATCCCAGGTCAGGGCACATACAAGAAGCAACCAATGAATGCATAAGTAAGTGGAACAACAAATCGATATTTCTTTCTCTCTTCTCTCTCTCTCAAATCAATAAATTAAAAAGAAAAAAATTGCAGAAGAATCCAGGTGTAACTTTTCTATAAGTCTGAACGCATTTCAAAATAAGTTAAAAATGAAAGAAAAAAAACAAACTCTAGAGCAGCAGTTCTCAACCTGTGGGTCGCAACCCCTTTGAGGGTCGAACGACCCTCTCACAGGGGCCGCCTAAGAAATAACAGTAGCAAAATTACAGTTATGAAGTAGCAATGAAAATAGTTTTATGTTTGGGGGTCACCAAACATAAAGGAACTGTATTAAAGGTCCGGGGCATGAGGAAGGTTGAGAACCGCTGTGTTAGAGCAATCTGAAATGCTGGATTAGATCCTGGAACAACAACAAAAAAAAGGCCTTCATGCCCAGTGTGGCTCAGTGGATTGAGTGTCATCCCATAGACTGAGAGGTCCTGTTTTGATTCCCAGTCAGGGCACATGCCCAGGTTGCGGACTCGATCCCCAGTGAGGGGCATGCATGAGGCAGCCAATCAACGTTTCTCTCTCACATCGATGTTTCTGTCTCTTTCCTTTCTTCTCTCTCTAAAAAAAAAGATCAAATGAAGAAACACACACACATATATATTTTTAAGAGGGCCTTTGTGGAAAAGACAGTCAAATCATCCAACCCACCGACTGGAAGTTAGTTAACAGTGATATGACAGGAAGGGTCCCATGTTAATTCCTCAACTATGACAATGGCACTGCCGTTCTATGACATGAATGTGAGGGAAGCTGCTTAGGAGTAGATGGCAACTCTGTGTACTATCTTGACAACTTTTTGATACATCGAAAATTATTCCCAAATAAGTTTTCTTTAGAAAAAAAAAAACAAAGCACCCACCCAGGTCACCCAGGTCCATATCTAAAGCTCTCCAATGTGGGGCCATGTGTCTCACTTTCTGGAATTTCTTGGATTTTAGGAAGAGGACACTAAATAGTCAGGTTCACTAAATATTCTGGAAGTGAAACATCTGAATGTCACAGTCAGCGATATAAACCCACAGCCTTGCTTCCCATTTAGAAGCCTGGGGAGACCTCCAGTCTGCAGAAGTTTGCCATTAGGAGACGGCAGAGTGGCTGAGCCCGAAGGCCCTTGAGAGCTGAGAGCATGAAGTGCCATCTCACCTGAGCCTCACAGCGAGGGAGGGCCCCCCTTGGCCCCACTTTTCAGGTAGGGAAACTGAGTCCCAGATCTGTTGAGGGGACTGCCTTGGGTCAAATCCAGTTATGTCTGAGTCCAGAGCCCCTGGGCTTTTAAATGATCATACTGGAAGTTCCCCAAATGCTGCTTAAACAATAACAACAACAATATTAATAATAGGCATCATCATAATCACAGTGAGCATGATTTAACTCTTGGCATCTGCTAGGACAGGGGCCAGGGTACTCTGCGTGTCCTCAGTCAGTCCTCATAAGATTCCTGCTGTTTTTCCATTTACAGAGGAGACATGGAGCTCAGAGAGGCGAAGTGCCTTTCCCAGGGTCCCACAGCTAGTGGAGAAGCAGAGGACTAAAGTCAAGCCCTTATGGGTCCTTCACCCACAGAATAGGACATGATCAGTCTGGTGGAACAGAATAGGACATGGCCAATCTGGTGGATGAGGCGTCATCAATATGTCAGTTGACGTGACATTTCTATAGACACTCAGAAACTGGATGGCTCCTCCGGGTGCTTCCAGAGACAACAGTGAGACCTATGGCAAGGGACTGCACCCTCTGACCTCTCTCTTGGTTGCTTTCCAACTGTCAGACCTCAGATCTCCACCAAAAGTATAGAGAACAAAGGTCCCAGGAGGCAACAGTTAACTATGTTGTGATGCACTGATCTTTTTCTCTTCTCTTCCATTTTATTAAAGAAAAACAAATTCTGGTATCCACCCACAACATGGATTTTGTGATTCATGAATGGATCACAACCTGAATTCTGCAAAACATCATGGGTGGAAACCCATCTTTGCAGCCCACGTCTGTCCTGAAGCCACTAAGGGACCTGGACGCTCTCCAGCCCTGGCTCCTGGTCTGCCTCAGGAAACTCCCCACCTGGGGCTGGGGGCTGTGGGGACGGCTGCATCCACTTGGCAGGGCCTTGAAGCCCAGACAGGAAGTGATACTTCCTCCTGGGATGGATGAGGAAGTGTTACTCAACAGACACCCAGAGGAGTGGGCCAAGCCTCGGGCATCACGAGACAGCATGTGGCTTCTGCCACAGGGATGGCACCCCCAGCATCCACCCAGCCCTGGGAAATGGAGTTCCTGGGGTACAGGAGCCAGTCTGGACAGCAGGGAGTAGGGGACAGATGTCTCAGCTTCTATGTCCAGCTCTGGCTCAGACTGGTCACTGACTCAGACCAATGCTGCTACATCCCTGGGCCTCGGTTTCCCCATTTGTCATTGGGGTTCTGTGGCTTTTCTCTCCTGAGGCATATTTACAGAACAAACACACAGACTTGAAACTGGAATTCTAGGTTCTGATCATGGCTGTATCACCTTGGGCAAGTCATTTACCTCTCCGGGCCTTGGTTTCCCCATCTGGGTTTATGGACAGAGCTGGGTTCTTGACTTTTTACCCTCCCTGACATGTGATCACTTCCTGTCAGGGACAGACACTACCCCCTCTCCTTGGCCTTCATCCTCAAAAGGATCAGCAATCCTTCAGGAAAAAATAACTTTTGGAACTGGTCTGTGGTGATGTCTGCATATCTTATGTATTTCATTTTTATGTTGCCTTGGGTCAAGTGAAGGCAGGAGGGCAAGAAATAAAGGTGTGTGACACTTCTTAATATAGATGATCTCAGATTAATCACTAATTAAGGACTAGGTTAGTATTAAGAGTTTTGTTTTACATTATACACTTAATCTTTTTGAGTAATTGTTAAAGTGCCTCATCTGAAGTATTGCTGACCTCATCTATTTATACTTGACAATTTGAGAACGCAGTGAAAGTAATTTCTTATTTGTAAAGCATTGAGCATCAGATTTATATTATTTATGTGACTTTTCTATAACTCAACTGGTTGCATTATACAAACATTCCATTATTATTCGAATTGTAAATGGTGAAAAATGAACGTTTATAGGTAACTGTAACATGTTTCACTATAGGAAGTTTTACAAATAAACATGCATAGTTGACATAATTTAAATTACAAAAAAATAATAATAGCTTTTGGATTTAATTCCTCTTTTCAAGAAGGCAGAGAGGTATGAAGGTGGTCCTCAGGGCAGAGATGAGGGTGCTTGAAACCAGTCCACAGGGCTGTCCACAGGGCAACCATCAGTGCTTGGGGACACAGACAACCTCCTTTCCCCACTCCCATCTCCACACCAGCAAAAAGGACTTCCTGATTTGGGGCTGGCTGTGCAGTGGTCACAGTGGTGTGGGGCAAGAAACCTTCCCAACTCCAGGAAGATAAAGTACAGGTTGGGAAAATTGCCCCTGAATCAGGGTTGAGCTATTCGTTCACTCATTTATAAAGCATGCACTAGACATCTACCGTATGTCAGGTTCACTGTCCTTCTGGGCTAGATGCTGGGGGCACCGGAGTGAATAAGACAGACATGATCCCCACTCTTGCACTGTTTGCTGTATAACTGCAAAGGCAGACAATAAACAAGTAAACACCCAAGAGTGTCAGTAAGTGCGTGCTATAAAGAAAAGTCAAGCAGCCCGGCCGGTGTGGCTCAGTGGTTGAGCGCCGACCCATGGACTGAGAGGTCCCAGTTCGATTCCCGGTCAGGGCACATGCCCAGGTTGTGGACCAAATCCCCAGTGGGGGGGCATACAGGAGGCAGCAGATCAATGTTCTCTCTCATCGATGTTTCTATCTCTCTCTCCCTCTCCTTTCCTCTATCTAAAAATCACTAAAGAAAAATAAATAAATAAATAAAAAAACAAGAAAAGTCAAGCGAAGATGGAGAAGGATGAGGCCATCTATACTGCCACGGAATTCAGGGAAAACTTACCTGTGGAGGTAGCAGTTGAGCTGAGACCTTTCTGGAGTAAGCGTGCCAGCCATGCAAAGGCTTGGTGACACTAAGAAATCTTGACAGGGAGAATAGCAAGTGCAAAGGCCCTGAGGTTCAGATAAATGAACTTGAAATGTGCAAGGAAAGCTCACTAACACTGATAAACATTTAGTCTGATGGATGAAGAAAAAGGACTGAAACAAAGAATTAAAGAAAGCCCTGGCCAACCCCGGCCGGTTTGGCTCAGCGATTAGAGCGTTGGCCTGCGGTCCAGAGAAACTCGGGTTTGGTTCCTGCTAAGGACACCTACCTCGGTTGCAGTTTGTCCCCTGCCCTGGTTGGGTCGTGCGGGAGGCATACACTTGATGTGTCCCTTTCACGTCAATGTTTCTCTCTCTCTCTCTCTCTCTCCTTCCCACTCTATCTGAACAAAAAATGGAAAAATGTCCTCAGGTGAGGATTAAAAATAAATAAATAAAATAGAAAGCCTTAACCAGTTTGGCTCAGCAGTTAGTGTTGGCTCTGATGATCAAAGGGTTGCGAGTTTGATTCCTAGTCAAGGGCATGTACCTGAGTTGCAGGTTCAATCCCCAGCCCCGGATGGGGTTGTGCAGGAGGCAATCAATCGATGTGTCTCTCTCTCCCTCCCTCCCTTCCACTCTATCTAAAAAATCAATGGAAAAATGTCCTCAGGTGAGGACTAATAACAACAAAAAAGAATTAAAGAAGGAACATCACTAAGGATCCTATACTAGCAAAAAGGATGACAAGGGAATGTTATAAACAATGTTATGGCCCTGGCCAGTTTGGCTCAGCAGTTAGAGCCTCGGCCTGTGGACCAGAGAGTTCCAGGTTCAGTTCCAGCTAAGGGCACGTACCTCGGTTGCAGTTCGTCCCCAGTCCCATTTGGGGTTGGAAAGGTGGCGACCAGTCAATGTGTCTCTCTCACATCAATGTTTCTCTCTCTCTCTCTTCCTCCCTTTCTCCCTCCCACTCTATCTGAAGATAAATGCAAAAATGTCCTTGGGTAAGGATAACAAAACAATGCTATGCCCATAAATTTAACAACTTTGAAGAAATGGACAAATCCTTTGAAAGACACTAATAACCAAAGCTCATTAGATAGCTTAAATAGCCCCCTTTATTAAAAATAGTAAGTAATATATTAATATATCACATATATTATTAATATGATAATAGCCTATTAAAGAAATGAAATAGAGATAGATATTAAAGCAGTTAAATTCTTTTTTTTTTTTTTCTTTATTGAATTTAGAGAGAGAGAAAGGGAGAGGGAGAGAGAGATAGAAACATTGATGAAAGAGAACATTGATCGGCTGCCTCCTGCATGCCCCCCACTGGGGATTTGACCCACAACCTGGGCATGTGTCCTGACCAGGAATCAAACTGCGACCTCTTGGTGCATGGGTCGATGTTCAACCACTGAGCAATACTGGCCAGGCAAAGTAGTCAAATTCTTTTTTTTTTTCTTTATTGATTTTAGAGAGAAAGGAAGAGAGAGGGAGAGAGAGATAGAAATGTTGATGAGAGGGAAATTGATTGGCCACCTCCTGCATGCCCCCCACTGGGCATGTGCCCTGACTGGGAATTGAACCAGCAACCTCATGGTGCATGGGTCAACGCTCAACCACTGAGCCACACTGGCCAGGCCAAAGCAGTTAAATTCTTTTTTTTTTTTTTTTTATCCTCACCCGAGGACATTTTTCCATTTTTTGTACAGACAGAGTGGGAGGGAGAGGGAGGAAGGGGGAGAGAGAGAGAAAAATTGACGTGAAGGGACACATCGAGTGGCTGCCACCCGCACGACCAACCAGGGCCGGGGACAAACTGCAACCGAAGTACGTGCCCTTAGCGGGAACCAAACCCGGGTCTCTCCAGATCACAAGCTGACGCTTTAACCGCTGAGCCAAACTGGCCAGGGCAGCAGTTAAATTCTTAATTAAAAACTTTCCAGGCTCAGATAGCTCATTGATGATTTTACCAAATGTTTAAGGAAAACATGAAATATTCAATGAAGAGCAAAGAAGCCAGGTGGCTGCAGCTGAAATATTACAGCTGATAGACAGAGCTGGGGTCTGAGAGGTCAAGAGGGGCCAGAGTTTGAATTTTATGCTATGTCAGATCTTCTTAGAGAAATAGGGGAGGGGGGTTCTTTTTTTTCTCTCACCCAAGGATATTTTTCTACTTATTATCAGATAGAGTGGGAGGGAGGGGGAGAGAAAGAGAGAGAGACAGAGAGAAACATCGATGTGATAGAGCCATATTAACTGGTTGCCTCCCGTATGACCCGACCAGGGTCAGGAACAAATCGCAACCAAGGTACATGTCCTTGACCAGAATCGAACCCGAGACTCATTGGTCTGCGGGCCTGCACTCTAACCGCTGAGCCAAACCGGCCAGGGCGGGGGTTCGGGGGTGGGGGGCGGAATTCTTTTACCTAGTTCAGCAAGAGAGAGCAATGTTAGAAGTTGGAAGTTCCCTCAATTAAGGTGCAATTCCTGGGGGTCCAGTGCTCCCACTCTCTTTTCTCTTTCCAGTCCTAAAAGCTTCCCACTGGATAAGGGAAGAGAGAGGTGACTATACAGCCTCTCTGACCTGGGCCAAGCAGATGTGACTTCAGGACACCTGGGACCTTCCCCAGCCCCCACCCAGGGCTCAGGGAGTCCTGGGAGACCCTCCGAGGCCTGGGCCATACACAGGGCAAAGTGGTTGAGGAGCGAACACATGTGGACAACAAGACTTGAGGTTTCAGAGGTCACAAGCTGCCGCCCTTTAAGTCATCCCTACTCCCTCATTTGGTTTAATTTTCCTCCTCAACCTTCTAGCTTCTAGAAATTATTTTATCTGTTTATTGGTTCACGGGCTTAATGCCTATCTCCCTCACCAGAAGATGAGGTCCATGGAGGCAGGGACAACTTTCATCTCCTTTGCAGCTGTGTCCCCAGGAGTTACTTAATACATCTTGAATATATGAATGAACCGATCAATTACTCAATCAGAACCAACTGACAACACTCTGCCCACAAAACTCATGCTAATAAAACCTCCAGAACCTGGGTCAAACCCTCTGGGCCGGCTGGTGTGCAGGGAGAGAGGAACTGGAGGGCTGGAGGGAACGGAGATGGAGGGAGAGGCCAGGGCTCGCGGGCCTGGGCAGGCGGCAGTCCTGAGCTCATGGTTCCCTTCCCATGACATAGAGCCGGTAGGGCGTGCTGGGCCTGCCAAGCTGGAGCCGGCCCCACCACGCCGCCCCATGGGGCCACCTCCATTCTTGCAGATGCTCTACAAGGTGGCTGGGCCCATGCTTGGATGAGAAACAGGGCCTCTTTGTGCCTCAGTCTTCCCATCCGATATATGGGTTCCCAGCTTCTCTTGTCCCAAGGGGTGCCAGGACCCTCTGCTCCAGCCCTCTTCCCTCTGCCCACCTCCAGGCCCTGGACTCACCCAGAAGCAGCAGCTTCAGCTCGCCTCGATCCCGCTTCTTCTGTTCCAGGAGGATCTTGTTGATCTCCTGGTCAATCCGGGCAGCGGTCTTCTCATCCTCCGTCAGGCACCAGGGGCAGCAGTGCCAGGTCAGCGACCGGGCCATGATTCGGGGCCTCAGAAGGCACAAGGCAGCATGGCCCTGGCCCCTGGGGAGGGTACTCCCACCCTGCCGGCTCCGGGGAGGGCTCCTGTCAGCCAAGAATGAAGGGGCTGCCCTCTTCTTGGGGGTCACCCCCCGGAACCCCCCCCAACTTCCTGGCCTCAGGCACCCAGGCAGCCCAGCTTGAAGAGGCCTGAGTGCCAAGCACAGGGCGGTGGGGGAGGAGGAGGTGCAGAGGCTCAAGGCTCCCCGCCCATCTCCAGACCTGCCCAGCCCGGCCTAACAGGTTGACTGTGGCAGCAAGGAGGAGAGGTGGGTGCCCCTGGGGAGGGTGAGGCAGCTCGAGGGAAGGCCCCACGAAGTCTGGGTCCCAGCAGTTAGCTGGGCCCTCCTTCCTCATTCTGGAGAAGGGGTGGACTCCATCCTCCCGGGGCCCCTGACCCCGCCCTGGCCCGTCCCCGGCCCACCCCCTGCGAGCTGCTCTGAGCCAATTAGGAGCAACCCTCAGAGTGCCGCCCGTGCAGGCAGGGCGGTACCTGCTGTCTGAAGTGCTGGCGTGTAGGGGCTTGTTTCACATGCACATCACCCCAGAGTTACTGCTATTTCCCCCATGTACAGATGAGTAAACTGAGGCACAGATCATGATGGGACTAGACAGGGACCGGAGCCGGCTCTCACCCATGGAGCCCCAGGGTCTAAACACTAACCAGGCAGCTTTGAGGAGGGCCCTTTATTCTTCTGACAAACACTGATCGAGCACCTACTGTGTGCCAGGCATTCTAGTTGCTGCAGAAAACAAAATGACAAAACCCCTCACCCCTCTGCCTAACATTCTAGTTAGAGAGACTAGTGAGGAGAGACTTTTTTTTTTTTTTTTTTAGAGAGAGAGAAAGGATAAAGGAGAGAGAGGGAAACATCAATGTGAGAGAGAAACATCCATCAGTTGTCTCCTGCATGAGCCTACTGGGGATCGAACCTGCAACCTGTTGGTGTACAGGACGATGCTCCAATAAACTGAACCACCCTGCCAGGGCAGAAAATAAATTTTTAAAAAATATTCTAGCCTGTTGGATAGCAATACAGTCTGAGAAAAAAATAAAGTAGAGCAGGGGACTGGAGGTTTGGGGGCTTGAGCTGTCTCTTTACACCAGAAGTCAAGGAAGGTCACACTGACCAGATAGCAGTTGGCACCAGGAGACGTTGAACAGGAAGTCTGGGCTTAGAAAGACCTTGTGAGTCGAACCTGCTGGTCAAGCCCCCCTGCCTTGACTCCCTTAGCCTTTAGGACCCTCAAAGGAGGACAAGGACACAGGGGGTGAATATATGGCTGCTTCCTGAGTCTCACAGCAAAGGGAGATTGCAATTTGTCTCCAATCCAGCAGATCGTGGCCGTTTCTGGGTACAGAATCCCCTTTTGAGAGGTTCTTAAAAGCTCTAGAAAGCTCTGGAACACCACTCCCCCGGTGATACACATAATTCGGGGGCCTCCGGAACCCTCACAGATGGTACTGTCAAGGCTCAGAGAGGGTGAGTGCCTGGGGTCACACAGCAGCAACTGTCACCCCTCCCCCAAGCCCCAACCATCAAGAAGGTGTGGTTTTCTTTGTCGTTGAATATAATAAGTGGCAGATAGGAAGTGTGATAAGGCCCCCACCATCACCCCAGGCAGGTCACTGGGGGAAGCAGGTCCTACCCTACCCACCCATCCACCTGCCCCCAGCAGGATAGCCCTGAGGAGGTCAAGGTGACTTCCCACTGCCAGGCAGGTGAAGAAAAGCAGAAATTGGTCTGGGCTGTGCAGGGCTGGGAGGCCAGTGAAGAACAGAAATAACCAGCTTGGCAAAATGAGAAGGCCAGGCTGAGTCACAGACCAGACAGCGGACGGAAGTGCAGAGAGGCCCGGGAACACGAGAGCCACCCTCTCTAGGCATCTCCCTACTGCCCATTCCCAGCATGTCACAACAGGACCAGGCATCAGGCCCTGGTCTAATGCCTTCCGTGGTTCTCACTGACCTCAGAAAAACCACCCAGCTCCCTTGGTCCCGGCTAGGGCCCAGACTCTGAATTTCTCCAGCTTCAAAACAATTCTCCCTTCCAGTTCCCCAAAAAGGCAAGCGGGTTCCTTTCCACATGCCAGGTGCTGGTGGGGACATTTGTTACACATTAGTTCATTACAGAGTATCAGGGTGAGCTTGTGTGCATGTTCGAAACACACACACACAGAAAACGCACAAAACGTAAATATATAACCTAATCAGTTTTTGTAAACCCTATAGCCACGTGGCCCTATGGTCCCTAGTCAGGCCAAAACTAAGGACATCATCAGCCCCATGAGGGTTCCCAGACATTCTTTCCAACAGGAACTGCCTCCTTCCACCTGCCAGTCACCATTGCTCTGACTTCTACAGTATTTTTATGTTTAAGGGGTACTTTTTGGCAATAAGATTTATTTCATTTTTCATTTTTAAAACTATATGGCATTGTCTTCTCTTTCTTTAGTTTTTGGTTCTATGAGTTTTAACACATGTACAGAGTCATGTAAATTATCAATGAAAGAGTTCACAGAATCTAATTCCCTCCCTGTGAAAAAAAATCCCTCCTTTGTAGGGCCAAATCCTCACCACTGACCCTAGCCCCTGGAAACCATGGATTCACACTTTCTTGCTACAATTTTTATTATTATTTTTTTAATCCTCATCCGAGGACATTTTTCCATTTTTTTGTACAGACAGAGTGGGAGGGAGAGAGAGAGAGGGAAACATCGATGTGAAAGGGACACATCGAGTGGCTGCCACCCGCACGACCAACCAGAGCCGGGGACAAACTGCAACCGAGGTACATGCCCTTAGCAGGAACCGAACCCGGGCCTCTCCGGACCGCAGGCGGACGCTCTAACCGCTGAGCCAAACCGGCCAGGGCTCTTGCTACAATTTTAAAAATCCTTTTGCGAACGAAATATAAATGGAATCACACATGATGTGGCTTCTTTCACTTAGCATTTGGAACATGTCTATGCAGTTGGGTGTATGAGGAGCCCATCCCTTTTGACTGCTGAGTAGTTTTCCATTGTGTGTACATCACCATTTATCCACAAAAGGACATTTGAGTTGTCTCCAACTTGGAGACATCATTGACTAGTGCTGCTATAAACATACATCTTCAGGTGTCATATGAACAATCAGTATTCATTTCTCTTGGATAAATCCCTACAAGTAGGATTGTTGGGTTCTAGGGTAACTGTATGTTTGATTTGGTAAAAAATTGTTGAACAGTTTCCCAAAGTGGCTGTAGTACCATTTTGCATCCACACTAGTGATGTCTAAGAGTTCCAGTTTCCTGCATCCTCACTAGCACTTGGTGTTCCATATTTTAATTTTAGTGAATGGTGTCTTATTGTGGATTTAATCTGCATCTCCCCAATTGATTAATGATGTTGAATATCTTTTCATGTGTTCATATGCCATCCATATCTTCTTTGGTGAAGTGTCTATTCAAATTTTACCATTTATCTTAGCAGGTTGTTTTCCTATTATTGTGTTTTGAGAATTATTTACATATTCTGGATACAAGTCCTTTACTGGGTATGTGGTTTGAAAATATTCTCTCGAGTCTGTGGTTTGGCTTTTCATCCTCTCAACTGTATTCTTTGTGGAGCAAAAGTTTTTAATTTTGATAATGTTCAATTTATCAATTTGTTTCCTTTATGGATTTTGCTTTTGGTGCTGACTATAAGAACTATTTGCCAAACCCAAGGCCATAAAGATGTTTTCTTCTAGGACCTTATATTTAGATCTGTGATCCATTTTGAGTTAATTTTTGTATAGGTCAAGGTTTAAAAAAAAAAAAATATATATATATATACATATATATGTTTTATTTTTAGAGAGAGAGGAAGGGAGAAGGAGACAGAAACATCAATGAGAAAGAAACATCCATTGGCTGCTTCCTACATGCCCCCTCCTGGGGATCGAGCCCGCAGCCTGGGCATGTGCCCTGAATGGGAATAGAACCAGCGACCTCTTGGTGCATGGGATAATTTTCAACCAACTGAGCCACATTAACTGTGCTGTTTCTTTTTTCTATGCATGTAGATATCCATTAGCATCCTTTATTTTATTTTATTTTATTTTATTTTTTATCTACATTTTTTATTATTGACACTATTGCAGATGTCCTCCATTCCCCCCCCCACACACACACGTTGCCCACCTCCACCCACCCCCGCTCCCCTCATTACACTGCGGTCTGTGTCCATGTACTATGCATATATGCTCTTTGGCTAATCCCTTCACCTTCCTTTATTCAGTTCCCCCAACACCCCTCCCCTTTGACATTTGTCAGTCTGAACCATGTATCTCTGCCTCTGGTTCTATTTTGTTCGTCAGCTTATTTTGTTTATTACATTCCACATATTAGTAAAATTATATGGTATTTGTCCTTCTCTGATTAGCTTATTTCACTTAGCATAATAATCTCCAGGCCCATCCATGTGGTCACAAAGGTAAGAGTTTCTGCCCAGCCGGTGTGACTCGGTGGTTGAACATCGACCTGTGCACCAAGAGGTTGCCGGTTCGATTCCCAGTCAGGGCACATGTCCAGTTTGTGGACCAAATCCCCAATGGGGGGCATGCAGGAGGCAGCCAATCGATGTTCTCTCTCATTGATGTTTCTATCTCCCTCTCCTTTCTTCTCTCTCTAAAAAAAAAAATCAATACAGAAAAAAAAATTTTTTTAAAGGTAAGAGTTCCTTCTTTTTTACAGCCAAGTAGTATTCCATTGTGTAAATGTACCACAGCTTTTTTATCCACTCATCAAACCATGGCTACTTGGGCTGTTTCCAGATCTTGGCTATTGAACATAGGGTGCATATATTCTTTCTGATTGGTGTTTTGGGATTCTTAGGATATACTCAGAAGTGAGATCACTGGGTCAAAAGGCAGTTCCATTTTTAATTTTTTGAGTATATGTCATACTGTTTTCCACAGTGGCTGCACCAGTCTGCATTCCCATCAATGTGACAGGTGATACCTCATTGTAGTTTTTTTTATTTTTTATTGTTGACTCTATTACAGATGTCCCCCATTTTAATTTGTATCTCCCTGATGCTTAGTGACCCTGAGTATTTTTTCATGTCTATTGGCCATCTGTATGTCCTCTTTCAAGAAGTGTCTATTCAGGTCCTTTGCCCATTTTAATTGGATTATTTGTCTTCCTGGTGTTGAATTGTATACGTTCTTTATATATTTCAGAGATTAACCCTTTATCAGATGACTCCTTGGCAAATATATTCTGCCATATGGTGGGCTCCCTTTTCGTTTTGTTGGTGGCTACTTTTGTTGTGCAGCTAGAACCCTTAATTGAAAAGACCCGTCCTGCCCTGGCTGGTTTGGCTCAGC